AACTCTAACCGAGAACCCTAGCACGTAGAACCTTAACCGGGAACCTTCTAGAACGTAGGAGATAGACGCCCGGCTAATCCCGAGCGCTTATTAGTCACGTGGAACTGACTATTCTTAGGGCGTGAGAAGTTTCAGGTATTTTTACATGAAACACCTATTTATAGGTTATTTTCCCACTGTGGGACGATTATATCATTTAAGGTAATCCCGATGCGATCGCATCGGCTTCGGCATTCACATCAGTCATCAAGCATGCTAAGTATAGCTGAAACGCTTACTAACATCTATTCCTATACAATGATGTCATTTGGATGCACCCGTAGAGGCGTCTCCCGCCTCTCTACAGACATCCGATGGTACTCCACCTCGAAACTTAATTGGTCCTGAAGAGTATATATACGAAACAGGTTGCTGAGGAAATACCTCAGCCTGTTGACCAAGTTTCAACTTCTCTTCCTTACGCTTACCCCTCCTCGCTTCGCTCGTCGTGGCAAGCTACCACCCTAACCCTAACCGAGCTTGAGTCACGAGTGCGGACAATGTTGTTAGCGATCTCAGCGAGTCTGGCATGAGTCCATGGGAAGCCTTGTCGAGCACACTCATTAAGCGTGTCTATGATGACCTTGTCCTCTTCTGGCGTGATGAGTGATTGATTGGCTCTTGTTTCGTGAAGGCTGGGTGTCCCATTGTAGCGCGAGCAGACAGTTTTTGGGTTGATTGTAACATGTTCACCTGTCTCGTTAAGATAATCCTTTTCGACTGCAATGCATACTTTTCTAAAGCCCATACGACGCTCTCCTGTCCCTTCTTTCTTGAGCTCCTCCCGGTACTTTTCCACTGCTCTCATCACCAACATTGCATTCTTCTCTGTCTTCAACCTGCTTTTGAGTTCCTCGGAGAGCGCTTTTCCGACCATAGTAGGGACTGCGAGGTGTTGCAGAGACGGTGGCCAGATACAAGCAAAATTTGCCGGCTCTTCGGGCAAAGTTCGGGTGCTGCAGCTGACCACCGGTTGACAGGTCCGGAGCACCGGATCTGATGTCACACACATTGATAAGCCAAGATAAGATTAGATATCATCCAGGCTAAGCTCCCTACAGAGTATCGTGTCCTTTTTTTTTTTGTATGTGTCCTATTCCCCCGATCCTCCCCGATCCAAGCTCAGTGTAAACGTGATATGCCTCCCATTCATAGGCCATTTTACTTATTGCTCTAACAATGCCCTCTAAGCCATACACAGCCATCCAAGACAGAAAAAAATTCATTACTACCACAATTTTCGCTTTTTGAGCTTACAGTTTTGGATCGTGAAGTTTTTATGAGCCCTGGATTTATGAGGCAAAGCTATACTACCCACAGATAATTATCGTAACATGTGCCTGGCAGTTTGGTGCAACGGGAGTCTAAAAAAAATTAGTGTGCATCCTGACATGGGTGTGTATCCTGGCGTGGGATCACAGTACCCCTGCTCCGCGAGCTTGGTGTCCACCCCTGCTCTGGGCCCCCGAGCCACACATGGTGGACAGTCCGGATGGGGTAAGCAGAAATCCCACGCCACCTGCGAGCCTATGGTCGAAAAGGTACAGTACATCAATCAATTGCAGCTGCAATGCCGTTACTGTCAAAGCCAATACAGTCATTTGCATTCCAACCCGGAAAACGCGCGTCTCGCGGTGTGTTTGTTCTGGACAAAGCTTAGCCATATATGGTAGTCACGCGCGAGCTGTTGATACTCCGACGTGACTTCAGCTTTACAGACGCTGCTGTTGTGCCTCGCAGTCGACACAAGTACTGTAACACAACCCGCGCTAGAGAGTTTTGTTTAATAGAGTTGATAAAGTTCGAGTATAGTGATGCCAATCTATCTCACCACAATACCTAAGTCTTGTCGCCTCAGATCAGCTCGGAAATATACCACAAATGACTGAGTGGTTTTTGGACGAATAAAACACTGTGCCTGTCAAGGAGCCTCAGATTGTTGCCCGAACCGGCACTTAGATCCTCTTCTGCAACGTCTACGAAATGATTTCTCACTATCAGAAGACAGGCAGTATTGACCGAGTCCAATTCCTGGCCTCAGGCCTCCGGACATGCACAGATTTCGTCAACTGAAATGTCAAATATGTTATATTAAGTAACATGAGTCCATACTCACTCAGGCATCTATCTTGACAAACTCTAAGTGCACCTTTTCGAAGAAGGAATATTCATGTATTGATTCAACAGTTTTACAACCCCTCCGGGGTGCTGCATTCTCCCACAAGGAGATCCACAAGACTGCGGGCAGCATAGATGGAGGGGGAAACACCTGGAAACGCGCACAGCAGTAACAGGCAGTCACACTGTGATCGCGTGTGACCACAAGCCAAATCGGGTATAAATTTGCGCGGAACAAACAGTACGCGAGACGCGCGTTTTCCGGGTTGGAATGCAAATGACTGTATATCCTGATTCTTGTCTCCTCCCGTCCCTTCATCACGTACGCAAATCATGTGTTTACCCCGCCGCAACATACTAGATACAGTTTTCGGGTATGGACGTCTTTGCCCTCCCGCGCGCGCCTAGTGATCCGCACGAGTGATAGCCTACCCAAAAACTCCCCGTCCGATGGCTTTAGTCTCATAGCACAGTTTCGGTACAGACTGTATTGTCTAGCACGTCGTCAAGAAAGCCGCCTGCCGCCCCGTTGTATCAAACAAATAAGAACGAGCAGTGACTAAGGCTAGTTAAATATCTGTGCACCAGACTTCAAGTCGGCCCTCTCGCCTTCCAAGAGCGACTGCGTGCGCTGTTGCAATGGCTAGGGCAAAGTCCGAGTCATCATATAAAGACACCTCAACACCGTCCTCATCCTTGAACCTCAACTTCAGTCCCGAAGAGCTAGTACCGAACTTGCAAGTCACACGGGTGACAAACTCACGCCACGGTGTCGTCGGGGAGATAATCATGCCGCGGACATCGCCTTGATAGTGCAGCTGCAATGCACATTTGGATAATTGCCGCAGATGGGGAAGGAAGTAGGAAGATTATGGTCTTAGAATACTAGCAGTCGACAAGGAATTGGGTGAAGCTGACGTACTTTGGTCTTGATGATGCTCATCTGCCACTCCTCGTCTGATCCTGTCCCATATCCTTCCTCGTCTTCATGCATCACCCTCTGCTCACGTTGACGCACAACCTTTCTCGGACTTGATGGTTGAGTGAGAGTAGCACTACTGGGTAAGACTAAACCCTGTGTTTGAACAGGTGATACTTTACGTTGCGAGTGGGGATCATCGAAGTATCGAGGTCGAGTGTGGTTTTCCGCCAAGTTGACGTCATCATTTGAGCTAGAATCGTGCGGTTCGTGCGTTGAGGCCGGCTCGAGAATAAACTCGCGTAAATCATCGGATAGTTCATTGAAGGTATTGAGGTAATCGTCCAAGAAGTCTGTCGGCACTGTATGTTCGTTGATCGCAAATGCAAGATAGTGGGGGGATACATACATTGATGATTGGGTGATGACTCGGGTTGATGGGATGAGGGAACATTGGGAGCTGGGAGCACTAGCGGCTTGGGCTTCTGCAGCTGACGTTGACGTCGGGCAATTGGGCTTGCAAGCTGTGGAGAGGAGGCTTTTCTTGCACTCATTCCGCGGCTCAGATCCGTTTTGCGGGTATGTGGGGTGGCGACTACCCTTGATTGTGGTATATTTGGAGAAGGCATTAACAGGTTGAGTATCCCGCCAGCGGAAATACCGTTATGTAAACGAGGTGCGGGCGACGTAGACGTTGCGTGCGAGGGCTCAGCCCAGGCTTGCTGAGAGATAGGTTGGGAGGGCCGCGAGAAGACGTTGGTTAGTGACGGGAACCGGTTGTGTCCTGTTAAACGTGCGGTGGCGGTAGTGTTTGCTCGACTTGGAGACTTGAGCGCGCGAGGGCTCGATTCTGACGACATTGTCAGGGAGGCGAACTGGCATATCGAACAAAAACATACTGGTAGGCATAGTCAAAGAGCGTCCGAGGGATGAGCCTTCCTCACCCTGCACGGTTTTCATGCGTTGGATGCCTGAGAACTCGGTGCACGCGTCCTTTGTCTCTGCCGCAGCGATAAGTTCAGCCTCGCCTATATAATCCTTAGTCGTCGAATTCGCCAGCTGGACCTGCGAGGGCCTGTATATTGTGCCAATAGGCTAAATTGATTCAGTTTTCTGCGCACTGATCAAAAAGGAATAACCATACCACGGCAAAAACTGCATGGCCTTCGCTACCATTGCGAACGGCTTCATCGATGATAGCATGTTTAGCTACGACCTTGCTCCTAGCAGCATCGCGAAGGTCCGAGAGTCCGTCTTGTTTAGCTCCGATGCAGAGTTTCGCGAGTCCGCGATTGAAAAGGACTTCACAGGAGAAGAGTTTGAAACCAAGCCCGAGCTGTTTATAATCTCTGGGAATGTGATGAGACCCGCTGAGCAGGACATGGGACAAGAAAGAACGTACATCTCCCGGTTCCCGCGAAGGTACAGAAAGGTGTCTTCGAAATCACGGAGCGCGAAGTCGTAACGTGCGAGTGCGAAGTTGGACACGCCGGATTGAAAATAACTAAGCGCAGGTGTCAATGATGTATGATGTAAAGGGGATGGAGTGAAATGAGAGCTGCGTAACATGCGACGGCTGAACGACAACCATATGTCCCGCCTCGTGGGTTTGGCTGCGCGTGCCAGCATGCTGCAAATAGAGACTTGATTGAATTTCCAGGACTCACGCAATTGCAAGGTAAGGGTCAAGAGCAGTCGCGGCTGCATACTGCTCTATGGCGGCCTCGTGACGACCGATGGCAGCATAGATGAGGCCCATGTTCGTGAATACTTTGGACGACTGGGCGATGCGCTGTGGAATGAAGACGGGTTAGATATTGAAATGCAGGAGTGGGGACGACATACAAGAAACAGCTCAAGCGCTCCCTCGTAGTCTTGAGCATCGTAGGCTCGCAGAGCGTCTGCCCAAGTTTCCAGCTCGATCTTGAGGGGCAAAGGCATGAAGGGGCCGAGGTAGGAGGTCGCTCAGTGGCGAAGTGGTAGGGCATTAACCTGCTGGAAGGTACTTAGATGAACGGCAGGCAAGCGCAGCCTAACACATGTGCGAGAACAAAAGGGCGAGGAGAATGGGCCATTGTCATGGGTAGTGTCATTGTCGCGAGGACGGAGTGGAGGACAAGAGTAGAAACGGGGTTACAGATATGGAACAATTCCCCGCGTTCCGTCTATTAGTCCAAGGTCACTCCACTAGTATCCGTAAAATCTATATCCGATGATGCAGCTAGGTAACCTATATTAATACATTGAGCTTCCAGAGCTTTCAATTATTCTTCCATTGGAACGTCCACAACCCTCCTCACTTCCTCGTAGATCAGACCTGCAAGACGATCAGCAAGCAGCCAAGGCATAACCAATTGTCACCCACCCTTGAGCTCCTCCGTCTCCAGTGGCGTCCCGTTGTCAAAGTCGAAGAATGACGGGTCAATTGGGTCCGCTCCAGGCTCGTCGTCGGGATCGTGATACGGCTATTGAACACGCTTGAAAGGGCTACATAGAAGAAGACGTAGAGCGAACCTCAAAGTATGGATGCTGGAGTGCTTCTACAACCGTTATTCTCCGTTTAGGGCTGAATGTCAGGCACTTCTCCAGGAAGTCGATTGCCTGTGCATTATAATGAGATCAAGAGTCCATGAGATTTATGGCTTTACTCACCTGTGGATTCGCCTCTGGGAAGAGCGTCGAGAATGGGCGCTTTCTACGGAAAGGGAGGGCACGAATATATTCGCGTGATCGGGGCGAGGATATGTCGTAGAAATCGTCTATCGAGGGCGTGCCGAGGATGTCTAGGATAATCGAGAGCTGGTCGTGGTCTAGGCCGTGTCAGACGTGAGATGGAAATATGTGGCTGTCGGACACGTACCTATACGCAAAAGCAATCATTGGCGGAGGTCAGGTCAAGTCTGCTGGAAGACGTATGGAACGCGTACAGTCACGACCAGGGAAGAGAGGCTTGCCGCTGAGCATCTCTGCCAGAACACACCCAACGCTCCAGAGGTCGATGGCGCGCGTATACTCCTTGAAGGTGAGCATGACTTCCGGTGCTCGGTACCACCTTGACACGTCAAATAGATGGCAATTGTCAGTGTTGGGACTCGGAATGAACGACGGGGTTTGGCGTACCTGGTAGCGACATATTCTGTCATGAATGTACTGCTATCGTTGGCGACGTTTGGAGGTGGGCGTGCCGAACGGGCGAGGCCAAAGTCACAGACCTATATAGGTTTAGTCGAGTGCGGTGAGGAGTGATTAGTTGGAAGAGACCTTTAAGTCGCAGTTGGCGTTGAGCAGTAGGTTTGATGGCTTGAGATCACGGTGGAGAACATCTGCTGAATGGAGGGCTTTGAGTGCGCGGAGGGTCTGAGAAGAAGAGTTTGAGACGATAGATGAGAAGGGAGTGGCGTGCAGGACAGACCTGGTAAATGAAGTATTGGCAGTGGTCGTCGCTGAGTTTCTGTGTGCGGATGACGCGATGTAGATCTGTCTCCATGAGCTCCTGGACGAGGTAGACTTGTTTGAACTGTTCATAGCTAGGTGGCTGGAGGATTTCGAGGATGGATATGATGTTCTCGTGACGGAAGTGACGGAGGAGCTTGATCTCGCGGAGGGTGCGGAGACAGAACATGGAGTGGTCGAAAGGGGTGATGCGCTTGATTGCTACTTTGCGCTGGGTGGGGATATGGACGGCCGAGCTGTATATAGGTGATCAGACGAGCGGAGACATTGGGGAGTGAGAGAAACATACCAGACGACGCCATAAGCACCCTCTCCGATGACGTCGAGGATCTGGTAGGATGTACCCACGTCGAAGCTGTCGGACCTGCTCTCGAGGGACGACATGGGTGTCGAGGAGGAGGAGGAGGAAGGGGGTGATGTTGGGTGGACGGGAGGAGAAAGAGGAATCAGGATATGTCGGCTCTGACAATAGCGGGACTATTACAACTGATCATCATTGCAGCACTAAATTAATGATGTAAATAATTATTATCAGTTTATCAGCCAGCAACACCTCGGACTCTCGAATCGGTCGTCTTCCCAGTCCTCCTCCTCCCAGTCCATCCGCTCTCCCTTCCCCTGCCTTCCTCTCTTTGTCGCTCACCACCACCATCCACACCCATCCTAATCTCATATTTGCCTTTATCGCTATCATCTTATCAGCCCGATAATGCCAGCTACAGAAAAGAACGATGCTGCCAGTGCAGCAGACATGGACGAGGACGATTTTAGAGAGTTTGACCGTGAAAAAGACAAGGGCCATAAATCAAAGCAGTCTTCTTCAAAGTGTGCGTACTCTTCCATCCTTTCTGACTGTCCAACCCAACCCGATCTCCTTCAGCCAAGGATCTCTCCCATGTCCCCTGCAAATTTTTCAAAGTCGGTTCTTGTACAGCAGGAGCTGCCTGCCCCTTCTCTCATAGTATCCATGAGCGTGGCCAGCCCAAGGACGTCTGCACCTGGTTCATCAAGGGAAACTGCAAGTTCGGTCACAAGTGCGCTCTCGCCCACATCCTTCCAGGTCAGAGCATGGCTATGGATAGGAAGAACAAGAAGTCTGCACAACTCGCCAACAATGGAGCGTCGTCCGCAGGAGGTCCAGGCCGTGAACCAAAGTCTTCCAGGAGCAAAAAGGATGGTCATCAGTCTTCCGCCTCGGCCGATGTCTCTGCCAAAGGGCGTACCGGCCTCCTCTCCGGATCAACTGCACCTACTAGAGTCCTCAATATGCCTCTCAAGGCCACCGTCTCCCCTTCCGCCCCTGCTCCTCCTCTCAAGGATAGCGACTTTGCTTCCTTTGGTCTCCCAGATGATCAGCTGTCCTCAGTTCCTGTACATGCCAAGGTCGCGTCCCCCACTTCCCCTGACGATACCTCCGCCCAGCTAGCCGATCAGGACGAATCTTTCAAACAGCATGACCAACCAGAGCAGCCCAAACCAGAGGGCTCTCCTCCCACACTTCCCGTTCATTCCCCAACGCCTCCTCGCCACTTGGGCATCTCTCGCAACCCATCCGATGCCGCAGCAGACCTCGGTCCCATCGGGTCTCCTCCCCGCTCTTCTCCCGCAGCCCGCTCACAAAATCTCTCCCCTGGTACCTCACCAGCTCGCCATATCACTTCCCCGCTCTCTGCACCGGGTAATCGCTCAGTCTTTCCCCAGAATGACTCTGGCGATCTATCCTTTTCTGACTTCAAGACCCGCGCCGGCCTCGCTCAATCGCTCCCATGGAACACCGATCTCGGCCCTATCCCTCCTCAAGTCCAGAGTCGCGCAGGCGTCGCTCTTAACGGCAGTGCACTGGACACCGACGCCGTCGGCGAGGACTTTGAAGAGTTCATTCCCAGCTCCCTCACCGACCTCCTCACTCCCGAGGAGCGCTCCAGGCGCATGTCCCGTACCACCTCCGGTCGTCCTGTCGTCCCTGGTGCCGATGCCGCCTATGCAGCCAATCGTGCGACCCCCGACAGCGCAGCCCATCGCTACTCGCGATCCGTTCCCGCCGCCTCATTGTTGGGCGATATCAACTCCATTTGGTCGGACAAAACCAACGGGCTTCCAGGTTCTCCTGATACACATGGTCACCTTGGGGTCAATGGACTTGGCATTGGCAACGGTACCCCATCTTCCTTCAAATCGAATGGCGGGTTTGGTGGACGCTCCTTCCTCGATGACGGTCCCTCCCCCTCCCTTCTTGCACCATCGAATGCTTCAGCTGCCTTCTTGCCTAATCTGCACCACTACTATTCAAAGATGGGCCCTCAACGTCCAAGCTCTAATCTCGGTCGCTCTGCTAGTGGCCTGCACCCTCCACCAGGGCTTTCGCAGGGACTACAACCTATCAGCGCTCTCACCGCCTCTGGGCCCGGACCCGGTGCAGGTGTGGATGCCTTCTCCCCTCCGCGCACTAGCTCCCTCGGCACACATCCGCCTCTCGATAACCACCATGCGGATTCATACCTCAGCGCGGGGTATGGCAAGCCCATGGGAATGCAACGCTCTGTGTCTGGGCGTCCTATTTCAAACGGTTTCGGCGGGGATGGCGATGGAGAACGGACGAGTACCATCTCACCTTCAATGCGTGCTCTGCAGTCCCACGCGCCGGGCCAGAGCTTACCTCAAGGTCTCGCCGCTGGCTACTCTCGTATACACGCGCTGCCTACCACCGCTACCTCACCCAACGTACCCGGAGGCCTCAGTCCAGGCCCAGGTCCCGCACCCCCAGGCAGCGAGTGGCCAGCCAACATCGCGAACGCGCCCAGTCCTGATATGTACAACATGTCGAACTCGAAAGCTCCGACACCATCCTCGCCAGGTCTTGAGGCGATGTTCTCGCGTTTGTCCTACTCCGCCGCAACATCGCGTCCTGGAGCTGCAGCGTCGCCGCCGGGCAGCTCACCACTGGGTGGTGGTATGCCACGCCAGGTAAGCCATGGCCACACTCGCAACTGGCAGGGGCACGGCCCGCTAAGCCCACTCAACGGGCCCGCCGTGACCAACGACGACGACGACGAGCTTTTCAGCATGGATGGCTAATAGCCGCCGTTTTACGCTGCTCGTTTGTTCCACCTCAAAAGCAATTAAGGACTCGTAGAAGTACGTCCTGACGCGCATATACCCACTTTTATCTCTGATCTTTTTCACTTGTGCATCAGTTGTATCTCTTGAGCGCTACTTGCTCTTAGTCACGACTTTGTAGGTTGCCGTGCCTCTGATAATTGTATCTTGCTTGCATGTATTGGACTATTCCAATGTTGAACTTTACACTTACGCTTCCCGCCTTGTGTATCATCAGACCCTTTGCGGCCTACTTGTTGGTATATATGTTAAAAGTAATACAAAACATGCATATTTACGTCCCATATAAAGTATCGAAAACCTCGACTATCGTCGTCATGTCATGAAAGCATAGGAAAACAAAACACACCACGCTGATTAAACTTCCTCTACCTTTACTCCTTCCTCGTGTCGCGCCCGCTTGAGTAGCGACTCTACCTGATCCTCCTCAAAGTCCTCGTCTTCCTCTACGATTCTCTTCAAGGGTACGTTCACGGGGTCTAACCCCGAGGGACCAGCCACGGGAATTTCTATTTCTCCTCCCTCCGTTGTCTGCGCGTCCAAGTCCGACTCCTCCGTCGTAGCCATACGGGGTTTCCGCTTCTTCGACTTCGGCTTGCGCACTTTGCGCGGGCTCGGCACAAACTCGCGCCCGTTTTTGATCGTCCACTCGATTTCCAGTATTCTGTAGCGACATAGCCCGTCCCAGGTCACATCATCATACCACCCAGGCAGCGATGTATGATGTTGCCAACGCGATGCGGCAGACGAACGATGATTACGATTCCATTGGATTAGACGTGGATATAGGGTAGCAGGTGGGAACGGAACATGGAGGAAAAACAAAGGAGCGTCAGAATTGTCGCTTCACCGAGGATAATTCGCGGAGGAAAATATTGATAACGAAAAGTATCCACCTCTCTTTCAGCTTAATATTGTCCGGAACATATGTTTCGGCCTTCCGATACAGGTCGAGCGCAACCTGTAAATCGCCCCTGTAGTCGGATAACAGCAAGTCAGTATTCGCTCTCTGGAGCCTGCGAGGGATGGGATGCCGACTTCTCAGAGTGCGCACGCGCCAGCGAGACGTAGGCGCGCCCGGTCTTCTTCCTCGAGGAAGGAGACTGGACGCTGGCTAGCTTCGTCTCCTTGTTGCCCATTTCCCTGGTCAAAGTGTCAGCCCCTGAAACTGCGGGCCGATTGAGGATATAGCATACATCCTTTCCTCCATTTCGCGGAGCCTTGAGCGCATCTGGCTATCGAGGTCTCTGTGACTACGGAGTAGAGGTGTCAAAATGCCAGACGGAAGGGACATGGACTGGGAACGTCGATCTTGCGAGTCAAAGGACGAGAACGTCCTCTCTGAATCACTGATTGTGATACTGGACTCCCGCTGCTGCAATAACCGCTGTTGCTCTTCCTCCTCCTCCTTGACTCGCTTCTCCGCCTCCTCTCGTTCACGCTGCCTCTCATGCTCTTTGAGTCTCCGAGCCACTTCGGCCTCGACAGCGCGTGCTATCTGTTGCGCTTCCATGAACATCTGTCGCTCGCTCGGATAAAACTTTGTTTGCTCACCCGTTCGTCGAGATCGACGTCAGTGAGCTGCATGGACGGCTGTTCACCCCACATGGCAAGACCGCTACCTCCGATGGAAGGGCGCCCCTTGCCCATGAACGCGTTGCTTGCTCTTGGCATTCGAGAAGGTGGGCCAGCCAAACTAGGCCGTGGTCCATTACGAGTAGTCATGCCGGCGCCGCCGATTGAAATCCGGCCCCTCGAAGGGCCGGGCAGATTATTGGAAGAAATTTGGCTTGGCTGCAAAACCGCAGGGGGGAGTCTTGGTGCAGCTGCTTGTACCGCAGCAAAATGGGGTTTGGGCTGTGGTCTAGTGTCTAAAAGACGTCTGCGTCAAGTTCTACCCTATGGTTGCGCACGATAAGACATACCTCGTTCATTCACTACTGGCCGGTTCTCGACATTCTTCGTCCGGACAGCAAAACTAAGAAATCTGAGTCAGCGTCCAAATGTGTTTTGAAAAGCGACTCACTTCAGCGTGTTGAGAGAGTCTTGTCTGAATTTGGTCCCCGGCGCGAGATTACAAATTAGCAATCCAACGGATGAGCCGCCCAACGCGTCTTGGAGGATGCGTGTCAACTTCGAGTTTCTGTAAGGGATCCGAGACTACCGTAAAATGTCAGGTTATATTAGGGACTATGCGACCAGGACTCACAGCTCCCTGATTCAATGCATGAACGACTTGCCCGAGTACACTCAAGCTCTTGTTTATTGCAGCCGATTCCGCCATCCGGATGGAGTCGTTGCCAGTGAGTTTGTTGTTCTCGGACCCCGCCAAATCAACGAGGTTGATCTTGCCGGTTAGTGCTGATTTTGACGTGAGCCAATGTCAGTTTTTTACGTTTGATATTTAAACTCACTCGTGTGTGCTTCTGAGTCCGTCATGGTGACCTCAATGGTGAGCACAGCATGCGAACGCGAGGAGGCGTTGTTTAAATTAGTTGATCCAACAGAACGATGTTTGGAGGCACGCCTACAAAGACAGTGCGTTAGCGGCAGAGGTATATGAGAGGTCATGATACATACGCATATATCAAATCGAACTCTTCGACAGAGTCGATGGGTATAGAAGTCAAGTTTGCAACAAATACTTGTCCTGCATCGTTCTCGCGGACAGGCAGCTTAGGGGCCTAAGTAGAGTTAAGTAAGTGCTTTTCGTTAGATGCGGAAAGCTTATCGCTGACGGTTTCTCTCTGAACAAGCAAGTCGTAGCACTCGTCCTTGTAGATCTCCATGTAAGAGACAACAAGGTCGACGGATGCCTTGTTGAGGGTAGCCTTGTGGTGGAACATTTCCTATCGGGCACTTGGTCAAGCTCGGTGGTTTCTCTGAGATAGCAGCAGTGACTCTTACGCGGACGACCCTAGGAATGATACCAGGCTCTGACTTGTTGCCTTGCATAGTATGAGTTTTCCCAGAAGACGTGACGCCATATGCAAAGACCGTGACAGTCTGGAGTGGGGTGAAAGTTGGGCGTCTGGACTTTAGCGTGCCAAACTTGTATTGAAGGATATGACCACGTACGACACCACTATAAACAACCTCGATGAGGGGCGCAACATCATTCTCAAATATCTCCCCTTGGGTTGAGTCCGGTCCGTAGCAGGAAGAAAAGCTAAACGGGAATGAAATTTCAGCGGATGGGCTGTGGCAAGAGGAGGCTTGTAGGGAAGGCGAGGTGATACTGACGGGAAGTTGAATATTTGAGAGAGGTCTCTAGGGTTGGGAACGCGTATATTAGAGCCAGTGTCTGCATGAATAACTTGTATGCCCTCGTCGTCAATCTCGCCGGGGATTTTAGGTCTCAAGCGAGCTGCAATCTTGATCTTGTGGCCTGACATAGGGTGTATTGGTCCGTGTTGCTGAGTGAGGGGATGGTGGTGAGCGTTGTTTGAAGGAGATTAGGTCGTTGGCGTTGTTAGCGTTGTCGTTGCCGGCGGGGAGGCTAGGCTAACACGAAATGGCCAAGAACGGACAGCGGGTTTTCAACTCGACGCGTCAGTCACGTGTTCGTCGCGTCTCCCTTTACTGTCACTCACTGAGCTTGACTTGATGTTATGATACACCCCAAATTCTCACAGAGTTGGCGACTAACTTCTCAGTTGAATCGCATGACCTGGCTAAGTGGTGGGCACAACTTACGCAATTGCAGCTAAATACCCAATCACTTGCCCCATCATTGTGATCCAATAGTTCAGCAGCTCAGACGAAGTCCTAGCCGTTTGATTCAAGACCTTACCAGAACTTGGTCAAGCCCTCATACTAAGGATACTTAGCTTTGACTTGAAAATGTGAAGAGGTAAATATGTAGGAAGCAATCTTAGGTCGACTTAGCTAGCTGGTCAAGCATACATCTACTATTGGGGATTTCCTGAGATTTGTGCATGCAAACAACATCCCATTAGCGTTCGCAGAGAGGGTGGTGTCATTACAGCTCAGACCACGAATTGCTTCCTCACCTTAAGATACTACACAGGTCATGAGCTGTGGTCCTGTCTCTAGGCGTCCCTTCAAAAAAGACAAAAGCATCTGCATGTCCACGCAGAAGACATAATGCTGAATCTGGGCACGCTATGGTACGGGTACAGTGGCACAAACCCACTTAAGACGATTTAAACAATAACCTCCTCCTCCTCTTCGTCTCCTGAGACTTCGGCATTCTCCTGTCCCGCCTTGGCCATGAGCTGGGCCAGGTCTTGTTCTTCGGTTTCCGAGACAGCCTTGGGCTACAGACTAGGTTAGGAAACCACAAAGCCGAGTGCGTCGGGATAACTTACCTTCATCTTCACAACCAACGAACCACCTTTCTCCTCGATCTTGGCTTGTATCGACTCGATAGCTCTCTCCAGTCTGTCGACGGCCGCGTACTGGTGTGACATCAGAGAGAAAGCCTTGCCAGATCCGCAATGATGCATACCTTATCCGTGGCATTTGTGCTGAGCACATACAGGGGAGGCGCGACGAGCTTAGCCTTGATCGGGACAGTGTCGTTGCTCTCTTTCTCTCCCGCACGAAGGGCCTTCTTGATGGCGTCAATACCAGCCGGGGTGTAGCAAGTCAGCTCAATATCAGCGCGAAGCTTGATAGGCTGTGGCGTCAACCGACGGGCAATTGTGCCCGTAAGGATCGAGAGCGTCGATGTGGGTACCGGGGTAGCAAGGGACGAGAATACTGACTCCTGCTCACTACAAGTACCGCAGCAATGTGAGCATCGCGAAGCGTATATGCATCAAGGAAAGCACGTACGTCAGGGCGACCTTGAATGCGTCGTACGGGTGCCCGTACTTGTGGCCAAGAGGCCAGGCGATCTGCTCATACAGCTTTTCGAGTTTCTCCTCCTCGTTCGGTCCTCCCATGACGATGTCGTCGACGGGCTCGTCTGGGTTCTCCTTCTTTTGCCTCCTTATCGACTTTTTCGTCTCTTTCTCCGCGTTCTCGACCGCTGGGTCTTCGGAGGGGACGGGAATCGAAGTCTCGGCGTCGATCGAGGGTAGCTTTGAGGCAACATGCCGCATAATGGAGGCGACAGCCTTGGATTTGTTGTAGCGTTCCTCGCATTTTGTAATGTCCTCTGGTGATACTCGACGTTTTGAGAGATCAATGTAACCTGTAGGGGTTAGCGCGAGATAAGATGGACACCGGCGGCGATCAAGGGAGCAACATACCCTTCTCCCTGTCGACACGAAGAACAACGACTACCTCATTTCGTCCAACGCGGATGAGTTTTTGGATGGAGCGGATACGTCTGCGTGACAGCTCGGAGAGGAGGATCATACCCTCGATGTTGTCGTACTCGAGCTGCAGTAAAATCTAGCCTCCCGAGTCCACAGCGAGAACGCGGACTGACCAGCTTCACATAGGCACCCATCTCAGCGATCTGCCGAACCTGAACCATGACGAGTTCATCGACCTCGGGGTAGCGTTGTTCGTAATACCGCATTTTGTTGTTGCAGGGGATGGAGGAAAGTTAGACGCGAAGTTGCAAAGGGGCGATCGGTTCATCTCGCGAGTCACAAATTCATTATCAATGGACCCTAACCTTATGATGATCGCCCTTATCTACTTGTACAACAAAATATTAATCTACACAACCATGGTAAATCTCTCGGGCTGATCCTAGCTCTCCTCGTCGCTTTCCTCGTCCTCGTCCTCCTCCTCATCTTCGGTTTTCCAATTGGCATGATTTGGGTTGGGCATGAGGAGGTCATCCGTTTCATCTAGTACAAGTCAGACACGCAACACGTCATACCGATCTACTCACATTTTTCTTTTCTTGACTGCTCGTAGCTCTCCTCGAGTTCTCCAATGATGCGTTCTTGCATGTCCTTTACTTCCTCTGCCGACTTGCAGGTCTTGTATCGTTCAAGATATGGTCTGTGACAACAGTCAACGAGGTCTGGCATAATCTGCTCGCAAAATGTGCCATACTGGTTAACCTTCCAAAATGAATGACCCCAGCCAAACTCGGCGAGTAACGTACTCGCATACTCATCAAAGCCGACAATGAAGAAGGCAGCTGCAAGGGCCTCAACACAGTTGAGTCGCCACGGTTTGCCATAGTTGGTAGGGTTCGTTGCAATGAGATAAGGCACTGCTGAGACATGAGGCAGCGTACAAGGCAGCATCATTGGACTGACGGACGGAGACGCTCGTGTGGGCTAGCTATTTTTGAGAATGGGATTTCTTCAAGACGCGCCCAAGAGCACTCAACAACAGCGACGCCGTCAGCAGCAATGATGTCGCGATCCGCGGGGCTGATCACTAGTGTACCTTTTGGCCTAAGCCCTCGCGTAAAGATTAATGTCAGAACTTGGAGATCGACACGTACGAGACAACAATGCCCCGAAACTTGGATCCGATGCGAAGCTCCTTTATAAGCCCGGCACGTGCAAGTCTCTTTCCTGAGCAACGTCGGGGATCACAATGATCGAAGTCCTACGAGAGTAACAATCAAGACACCTCCACCGGGAGATAGTTGAGACACACACCCACATAGCGACGGGGACGCCTATGCAAGCTTTTCGCTCTTTGAACAATAGTCAGCAAAGAGGTGCCCAGAGAGTAGAATGCATTCATACCTGGTGATGCATCGCCGTCATTGCTGTTTGCTTCTTCGTTCTCCACCACACTGTCGGGCTTGTCTCCTGCAAATGGATCCTGATGTGCACGAAAAGAGCGGTCATTATGATTTCCACGACCTCTCTTTGCTGACCGGTTGCGGGATGAGGAAGCGCCTGAGTGTTTCTTGGCCATGGCGATTTAAGAGGAGGTAAAGGAGGGGGTAACCCTAACCCGGTAACACAAAGCTCGCCTTTCGGGCCGAATTTGGCTTTGAAGACCTTTGACTTTCTCCGACATGTTCTTCACCGCCGTCTGTCTCTCCAAAGCCTCTCGCCGCGCTCTCACTCCCAAGCGCGGTAACAAAGACTTTTATAAGGGTCAGCTCGTCGCTCAATTGCCTCTCATACGTCGCTTATAACCTCCTACTTGTGCAGGCACACGACAGGCCTTCCTGCCAGGTGGTCACCGCACGGGCGCGCCCGGTAGGCACGTTGTCAATGGCAGGGCCAACTACCGCCTTCTCGACGAGAAAGTCCGCGTTTTCGTCGCACCCAGTCCCAGGGTGATTCGAGAAACCGACGTGCGTGACCACCTCTCTGGCTTCTTCCGGGGCTGACTCATCTGTATTTATTGCAGCTACGACCTTATGTTGGCCTGGATATACGGCTGACGACCCAAGAAAAGCGCGAAGCGTCGAGTCAGATGCCCAAGCCATTGTCTAGTCCCGAGGCGTAATCACGAGGAAGGGGTGTATGGTATCCTAAGAGCTGGTAATACAACTAATAGACCCGATGGCGGACGTGCGTGCGAGTGCAAGAAGGATGTGCCTAGGGTGCCTGCGTGCTGGAGGGGATATGGCATGAGGTGGTGGATACACGAGAGAGGTACGGACACAAATCACTTCTATGAATCGCGCCGACTATCGGTGGTCATACCATGGGCGCGGGCAGAGACCGTGCTACTGTATAGTTCTAAAAGTAAAGCATGGTCCCCAGCAACAAGTGTTTATCCGGCTGCATGCGCCGATAAGTTTGCCAACTCGCTTTGCAGTCTTGGCCGGTGTTCAATTCTCCGGCAACCACCATCATGGTCAAGTGTTTAACCGCCAAGTGACGTATGCCGCCGGCTGCTTTCCAATTGGCAACAATCGTTAGGTCAAAGTGTTCCAGATATCAGAGTGGGGCGAATGTTTACAGGTAACGATATTTTGTCGAGGAGACACATGTGGTCTCGGGCCTGATTTGCCAGCAGAAGCCCTCGGATGGTCGGTCGGCCGCTGATCGTGCGAGAACAAGCCTTTGTAGCCATGACACACGACCTTGCCAGCTCATCTGTCCATCGTGGGCGTGGGGCAACATTCACTCGAGCTACTTGGGGTCGAGGACTGCGCGGAATATAAGAGAACCGTCCCATCTCATCTCGTCGCCATAGCTCACTGCTTTCTAGACAGCAGACGAAGATGATTGCTCAAGCGAGCGTTTTCATCGCCATCCTAGCATCTCTTGCTGCCGAGGCAGCACCCTCCGGCAACAAAGGCAAGTTCACCCCCCCGAGTTTGAAGACCCCATACTCATCATTCTGCGCGTCCAACTGCAGATGTGATCATCCAGCTTTTCGAGTGGAACTGGGACAGCATCGCGTCAGAATGCACCAACTTCATCGGCCCGACGGGCTACGGCTTCGTCCAAGTATCCCCGCCCCAAGAGGCCATCCAAGGTGACCAGTGGTGGACCGACTACCAGCCCGTCTCCTACAACATCACCTCCAAACGCGGAAACAGAGACCAGTTCCAGAACATGGTTTCCACATGTGCCACCGCTGGCGTGTCCGTCATCGCCGACACCGTTCTCAACCATATGACCGCCGGCGGAGGCACAGGGACCGACGGCAACAGTGAATATTTACTTCCGTTCATCTTATGCTTGATTGCGTCAGTTGACCCGCACTGTCCCAGGCTACACTCAGTTTGACTACGCTGCTGTTCCTTACACCTCGGACGTACGTCTCAGCTTACAACCACTCTAACTTGCCTTTTGACAATGGGTTTCAGAACTTCCATTATTGTGGGACCACCAACAATGCCATTGAAGATTGGAACAATGAAACGCAGGTCTGGACTTGTGAGCTAGAGAACCTCGCCGAGTGTGTAACACCATTTTTCATCCTCTTCACGCGTTGATGGAATGTAGTCTTGCTACGGACACCCAATATGTCCAGCAAATCGAGGCCAACTATGTCAACGATCTGCTCTCTCTTGGCGTCAAGGGTCTTCGTCTCGATGCTGCCAAAGGTAGTGTTTTACGCGGTTGGATTCTATTAACAGCTCAACGGCTATTCTAGATATTGATCCCGCAAACATTGCTGCCATCGCCGGAATGTTCACTTCAAAGCCGTACATCACCCAGGAGGTCCGAAAGACACCGCTACGCCTTACTTCCACTCTGATCGTGTCAATTCTCTCTAGGTCATCTGGGGTGACGGTCAGCCTGTGACGCCTCAGCTCTACACTGGCAACGGGGACGTCATGGAGTGAGTGCTGGCCCTATCGACTGTGACATCTTTACTGACAGTCGAGCAGGTTCCGCTACACCTCGGCACTACAATCTGCTTTCCTTGGCGGAGGCATCGACTCGCTCCAAGATCTGGACAACCAAGGTATGTCTTCATACCAATGGAAAACTCTAGAGCGCCATACTCATCAAATATTCAGGCTGGGTTGCTGGAACCAGCGCCAACGTTTTCGTTGCCGATCACGACACTGAACGCGTGCGTCTACTCATTTGCAGTTATCGTGCTTGACTGCATTGCCGACTTCGTTGTAGTCTGGAGCCTCTCTGAACTACTCTTCGCCGTCCAATGCTTACGTCCTTGCCCACATTTTCTCCTTGTACGTTGACGATCTTCAGTGGGGCTCGTCTGCATTGTGAGCTAATATCGCATCTAGGGCCCATCCGTACGGGACACCTACCGTTCTTTCTAGCTTCGAGATTACCGACTTTGACCAGGGTGCTCCAGATAATGGTATGTTCATCTGTTCGAGGTATAGTCGCCCCCTGACTGTCGCAGGCACTGGCACTTGCACTGCCAGCGGTGGACAAGACGGCTGGTGAGTGCTAACCTACCTTAGTTGACAAGTCGTGCCCCCCGCTCACTGGTCTCTACAGGCTCTGCCAGCACCGCTGGCCGGCCATCGCGGGCATGGTTGGCTTCCGAGCCTCTGCTGGCTCGGCAAACTTGACCGATTGGTCTTCGCCTTCCTCGAGCCAGATTGCATTCGGACGAGGCTCGAACGCTTTTGTCGCCATCAACAACGAGGACTCTGACTGGTCGACCACGTTCCAGACGTCTCTCGCTGCGGGCAGCTACTGCGAGGTGACGTCCGGACCGCCTTCGTCCAATGGATCATGTGCTGGCGCTGCGTCCGTTTTTTCCTAGTCTCAATGGCTGAGCACTGACCTTGGCCTGTAACAGATTCACGGTTGGATCTGACGGGACCTTCACCGGCACCATTTCGTCGCGGGCGGCTATCGCTCTTCACACTGGCGCGATGGGCACCGGTAACTCGACTGGTTCCTCTGATGCGGAGATCAACTTCGCAGAGACAGCCACGACGACTTATGGAGAGGTAGTCCTTGCATTGCTTACGCCGCTTAAAGAACTGACTCACGCATAGAACATATTTGTTGTAGGAAGCATCGCAGAACTCGGGTCGTGGGATCCCAGTAATTCCGTGCGTTGCATCAAAGGTACTCGATCCAAGTACCGTCTACTGACACGTTGGTTAGATCGCGCTTTCGGCGGACGACTACCCAGTCTGGAAGGCAACTGTGAGCGTCCCGGCGGGGACATCCTTTGAGTACAAGTACATCCGCAAGGAGACTAACGGAACAGTGAGTTACTAGTGGAGTTTGGACGATGCTCAATAACTTATATGATGGATGTGTAGATCGAGTGGGAGTCTGATCCGAACCGTAGTGACACGGCGCCGTCGAGCGGCTCGCAGACCCTCGATGATACCTGGAGGTGAACTCACCAGTGACTTTTATCGTTTCCGTCTCTTCTTGGGTTTATGGGTTGTACTTGTATTCAAAGGGTAGGTTGGTTGTGCGTCAGACATGATGTAAGTATGATACTGGCGCGGTATGTGTAGCTACATAGGGTCAACCTGCTACGGATTGCCTTTGGAATGGAAATAAAGTTTTGAGGATCATAAGTCGAATGAGGGCAATCTCAATGGTTGCTGACTGGCATGATGGCAAGACGGTCGGCCGATATGGAGCAATCACAGGCTCGAGAGCTGCAAACACGGGCCGTGATGCGTAGGCGGGGAGAGCCGGCTCGACTGGACAAAGTTTCCACTGGGCCGGGCTGAGAGAAGGGATAACTGAGTTGACGAGACGGCGAGGTGAGAAGACGAGACACTGATGAGTAGGTGGAATCGGTGCAGCCCGGTGGGTGCTAAATTGAGGCTGGAGCATGTTCGGGCGGTCCCGCATTCGATGGCAGAAAGCAGGCACGAAAGTCAATCTAGGCTGTATGAATAGGCTGGACGTCTAACTTGGTGCAACTAGCTTGGTGCAACGCGGATTGGAAGCTACTTGATTGCATAGGATGTACGGTATGCTAGCGTGGAATTAGATCACAGGACAAAACATTCAAGTGGAGCTTTGAATTCTGATCTGTGGTTCAAGATACAGCTTGGATCGATGGGGGTCGAAGGGGAAGAACGCGATGGTCTCAACGAGGCTGAAAGTTATGAAGCCGAAGCGGTTGCTCTTAGACTGGGCCGGGGGACAAGAATACATTGGATACCGAAGGGGAAGGAATGGAAGAGCGTGATTCCGGCGGCAGGAAAAGAGACGATGGAGATATATTAGTGGAAAGGCGACTTTAGATTGATGGAGCAAGAGACTATAATATTAATATGTTTTAGTTGGTTGCGGTGGACGGGCGGGATAACGAACTCGAGCTGTGCCGTGGTTGTAGGGAGGGCGGGAAGGGGATGATCCGGGGTAACACGTGATTGGAGATGAGGCATTAGAGAAAGGGGTCGATCCACACTTATATATCCAGATCCCAACATTCACTAACACCTGCATGTCCCTCCGACGTCGACACTCATAGCAATCATGGCATTTAGAATATCTTCAGGACTATGGGACAGAATCCACCACTTTGCATCCTTCCCCCAGACAGGAGGTCAGCACACCCACTCTCCCCTCCTCCTTCCCCGCTCACCGAGTCATTCCAGTCTCGCTCCAGCAGATGGTCCTCTTTGGCCAGAACCCGTCGCAGGGAACCCTCCTCAAGGCCTCCCAATTTCTAGCAAGTATGCACACATCTCTTGGCCATCTCCTCCTTTTCTCACTTTCCCTTGTCCAGGCGAGCTGCCCGTTCGTTTGGCCCACCGTGTCAAGGAGCTCGACCAATTACCCCACAATCTCTCAGACATGCCCTCAATCGTCAGAGTAAAGAACTGGTATGCTCAGTCCTTTGAGGTACATTTATCACTGTAAACCATTCCCCTTACTCACCTCCGCCTTCTCAGGAACTCATAAGCTTCCCTCAAGTCTCCCTTGATCCTCCCACCCGAGAAGCTCTCTCTGCTTGCTCAGACAACATTTACCTCCCAGAATCAACCCCTAATCCCTCCTTGACCGCCTTGGACGACTATGAACATCCCCTCCACAAACCGACCAGCTCCACCAACGGGCTCGGTAACGTCAAGCTCCGCGTGCCTGTCGAACGAAGGTCCGGCCCGCTCCTCCACACGTGTCACGTCATCCACTGATATAAGCGCCTCTCTCCAGATACTACGCAAAGACTAGCACCGTCGAATGGCCACCACAGATCCGTGACTATAACGATCGCTTCACCCGCACTCTCGAGGCCATCAAGCGTCGCCATGACCCAACCGTCACCACCGTTGCCCAAGGCGTCCTCGAGTGGAAGCAGTCCCAGAATGCCAAGAACATTGGCTATGATATCCAAGCCTGGCTTGATCGTTTCTACATGTCACGCATTGGAATCCGTTTCTTGATCGGTCAACGTACGTCCTCACTTACAGGTCGTGTCATTCATTTGCTTATGCACGCCTACAGACGTCGCTCTCAATACGCAGCAACCCCACAAAGACTATGTCGGAATAATATGCACCAACGCAAACGTCCACGACATCGTTCATGAAGCGATCGAAAACGCGCGTTTCGTCTGTGAGGAACACTATGCCATGTTCAAAGGGCCCCCTGTCCAGCTTATCTGCCCACGCGAGCTCTCCTTCCCATACGTTCCAGGCCATCTGTCCCACATCTGCTTCGAGCTGCTCAAGAACTCTCTCCGAGCTGTCGTTGAGAGGTATGGTCCTCAAAACGAGGACTCGTTCCCGCCCATCCGTGTCGTCGTCGTCGAGGGCAAGGAGGACATCACCATCAAGATCTCGGACGAGGGCGGCGGCATCCCTCGGTCTGCGATCCCGCTCATCTGGACGTACATGTACACCACGATGGAAGCCAAGGCGATCGAGGCCGACTTCCAGGCGTCTGATTTCCAGGCCCCCATGGCTGGGTTCGGGTACGGCCTACCCTTGTCGCGCCTGTACGCGCGCTACTTTGGCGGAGACCTCCGCCTGATTTCGATGGATGGCTTTGGCACCGACGTCTACATCCACCTCAACCGCCTCTCGAGCAACCGAGAGCCACTCCCTTAGCTCACACACTAATTGCCCGTTTCTTGATGACGGCGACTATGACATGTAATGTAATGTATTGGTATATTCACTGTACTGTATTCTACTCTCCATAAATGCGCTGATTATGATGCAATCCACTGTTCCTTCCAACCATCTGCCAGCCCTTGTCCCTCCAGTGCGGGCATCTCATGAAACGCCCCGTAATTACGCCTCCTGGTTTAACTCTGGCATTTTCTGTCAGGCACAAAGACTAATTTCAGTCGTGTGCGTGGTGATCCTGTCCGCGTCTATCTACTCTCTATCCCCCGCACTTCTTTCAGCGGCCTCATCGCACTCGCAAGGACAATAAAAATCGTGTTAGACCGTAAGATAATTTGTACCTGCAATAACACCAATAAAAAAAGGCAAAGTACGCGTACTAGTACCATTACCGACTGCCAAAGTATATACTCATACAAAATAATATTTGTGCTCGTAAATGTACTATTTGAGCGAAAGCATACGATAGCAACAACGACAACAAGATAACCGCTGGACCAACCAGCCCATCTATCAGGGTCCGTCATCCCCTACCCAAGCTCGCTTTTGCCCCAAACTCCGCCACTCCTTGGGTACTGGGAACGGCGTCGACGACTGCGCCGCCGGCGGGGGTGTTGCTGACGACCCCGAAGCAAGCGAGTCCCGCCGCGCCGTGCCCGCCTCCAGGGCCTGCACTTCGCTCGCCAGCCGATCATAATTCTTCTTCAGCTGCTCAAGCTCGTAGTGCCACGCCGACTCTCGGGTAGCGTCCAGCCCCTCGAATACATCCGTGTTCATGTCCAAAAAGTCGTTCCGGACGTGTGCCCCGGCCTCCTTGACCTGGCACACGAACCTATTACCCAAAGACGACGAATCATCACCGTCCAGACGGTAGAGGACAACCTGGACGAGCGCCATGGAGCCATCCTTCCGATGGGCGTTGCAGACGATTGGACATGGCTGCTCGCGCGACAGTTCGTTTCGGATGCTCTCCGCAGCGCTCACGAAACTCTGCAACTCCCGACCCGTCATCTCCTCCTGCTTCCACCCCAGTACCTGCTCCGCCCCGGCCCCGACGACGGTGAGAGTACCACTGGCAGTGGTCATGCCCCAGAACTCGCTTGGCCCCTCGCGACCATGCATATCCTGAGAGTAGGCCAGCCCGCCACCTTGCGCGATCGAGCCCCAAAGCAACCTCGCCATCGGCTTGACTCGGGCGCTGAGGATGATGGCCTTTCGTCCCTTGCCAGGTTCGACGTGTAACCGACCGCGACATTCTACCCAAACGTACGGACCCGCCTTGCTGCGCGCGCGGAAGACGGCGTCGACGGGGCGTGGGATGGCACGAGCAGAGAGACCCGCCTCTGAGGGGACGACGGAAGATTCTTTGAGCTCGCGCTCTAGCCGGACTTTATCGCCCTGATGGCAGAACTCGTCCATGTTCTTGTTCACCATTTCGTCGGCTTCGTAACCGAGCGATAGACGAACAGACGGTGCGACATAGAGGAAGGCACCCTTGAGAGATAAGACGAGGATAAAGTCGGGTAGGCTCTCGAGGAGAACCATATTGAGCAGCTGGTTGCCATCAATAGTGTCAGACTTTGAGGACGAGGAACTGATAGGGAGATTGGCAGCTGTCGTCAATGGAATGGAATCGATAAACTTGTCATCCAGGAGTAGAGCCTTGAGGTCTTTCGAGATGGCAGCTGGCGGAGGGCCCATAAGTCGCCGGTCTCGGGCCGAGAGTGGTAATGACTGGGGAAGCGAAGCCGTCGAGGAATAGTTGACAATATAGCTACCGTCCCTGAGCTTTTGGAGGATGGCGTTGGGCTGCTCGGTGAGGTCGACTTGGAAGCCAACGTGATAAGCGATCTCATCCTGCTCATCGAGGCGATTTGAGATGCCGCCGGTGACAGGGATGACGGTGACGAGGTTGATGAAGGCTTGACCGTTCTTGCGGTAATTGATCAAACTGGCTTGACACTCCTTATCGGCGGAGAGGGCTTTCTTGAGGTGAGTGACGGCCTCCTGGGAGACGAATCGTCTGAACTCGCCACGATGCACGTTGCCGTCAGGGGCTTGGAGGAAACGACAATTCCTCCCGATGACCTCATGTTCGTCAAAGCCAGTGAGGTGGTAGAATGAGGGGGACGCATATATGATCGGAGCGTCGTGCCGTCGGACGTCGGAGACGACGAAGGAACATGAAGCATCAATGGGACCAAGGACTATTTTCGGATGGGGGCGGGTGACAACGCGTGCAAGGACGGAGAGAAGATCAAAGCCTGAAGATGAATATACTGGGAGGCCACCAGCGGAAGGGGCACCGTAGATCTGTGGTGGTGATATGAGCTCATGAGGGACATGGTGGACGTGGGGGGATGGCTCGGGGGACGGGAGTGGAGGGGTTGAGGATGGTATGGAGATGTGGGACAGGGGTGGCTGGTGATAGACGGAAGGTGGCTGTGAGGGTGGATGTGGGAGTTGGTGCGGGTCAATGGATGGAAGGGGTGGGATATCAGACGGAATGGAGTCACTCGAGAATTGCTTGTTCCAAGAGAAGGCAGGTGATGGGGAGTGGAAGCTGTTGGAAAACAAGATGAGGATGAACAAGGAGGATAATCTGCAGGGACTGACGGAGCAAAGCCATTGTTGAGGAGCCACTGGGATGCATACGAGCTATTGTCTAGCATGCCAACAGGGAGGACCTCGGCACCGCCTCCTGGAGCGAGGGCAGGAGGGCCATTGAGCATAAACGAGGGGATCTGAAACTGGACCTGCTGCTGCTGCTGCTGGTGATAGGGATTGTAGTCGGTGTAGAAAGGGGCATTGTTGCTGTCGTCGTCGTCGCGAAGATAGCGTTCAAAGGGCATGATTGTCGATGGGGCCCAGTGGGCGTGATGGCAGGAGGAAGGGACAGGTGCGGCTAACCGTTGGCGGGGAGAGAGGAAAGGGAAATGGAGCGTACGATTTCGAGTCGACGTGTGGCTAAATCCGGTGGAGCTGGGGGGGTCAAATCTCGCTGCTCTCTCGTAATTCCCAAAACAGGCCAAGTCACCCTCTCCCTCTCTCCATTTGTCATTCCGTCCACTTTCTCCCACCATATGCATTCGCCGTCGCGCAAAACACGTTCATCTTCTATTCAAACTCGGCTTTACACAAAAGTACGTACAGTCATTTATGTCGACACTCGTTACAGCAACGCCCATGAGGCGAACATCAGAATTAGAGACCCGGATAGCAACCCACATCCGCACCTCTCATCAAACGACTGTCATTCCATCTCTGCCTCTGTTCCCCTATCCACCGCCCATGTTGGACGGCGTAGTGAATAAGAGGCATGTTCACACTCACTTACACTCTTCACTCTGCTCCATTGAATACACCGAGAGAAAATCCATGCATTCATACAGTCGTAGCCCACCATCTACACATCATGTCTATGCACGGAGCTGAGCACGCAGGTTGTTCTCCAGAGGGCCTCTGGGGCGGATGAACTGCACATAGGCACCGTCCCTGCAAGATAAAAATATGTCAGAGCCACAGTGCATGTAGAATAGCCGCCTTGATACGCACTGCAGCACACGCTTGTCTTCCTTCAGTTTCGGGTAGTCTTCACGGTTGACATTCGTGAAGCCCCACTTCTTCGACACAATGATCTTCTGGCGACCGGGGAACTTGTACCGCGCACGGCGGAGCGCCTCCTGGATCACGGGTGCGTTCGCCTCCTTGCAACGGATCGACAGGATGATCTGGCCAATGTTCACACGAGCAGCAGTGCCGTACGGCTTGCCCCAGGCGCCACGCATACCGGTCTGAAGCCTTCACTTCAAATCAGCCAACTGGTTTGACGGCCTCGACATTATGTGAGCGCACCTATCAGCACCGGCACAGGACAACATCTTGTTGATGCGAAGAACGTGGAAGGGGTGGACGCGGACACGGAGATGGAACGAATCCTTGCCCGAGGTCTTGGTCACATACTTGTTGGCGCAAATGCGAGCGGCTTCGAGGGCCTCACTCGAAAGCTGCTCGTACTCGTCCGAGACAAGATGGCAGCAGAAGGGGAACTCATCGACGGAGGCACGCTTGCGACCAAGATCGAAAATACGAATCTGTAAATTCAATGTAAGGATCCGTCACCAGCTTCCGACCTACGCGAATGACGCACCTTGGGGTCAGGGACACCACGGTTATACCGTGACTTGGGGTACGGCTTGTTCTTGCAGTAACGGTAGCAGCGAGCGGGACGGCGACCCATTTTGACTGTTTCAAACAATGCCTTGGTCAGCTTGCGTTATCCAGACTCCAGCACTTCAATCCAGCCATTTGACGAGCCATCCAGCCCGAAAGGACATGGATTCGGCGTCCAATGACGAAAGGAAGGTCAGCACGACGGGGGAGGGACTCACGAGCTGTGGGAGGGGGGTTAGAATGGGTGGAAGGGTTGTGCTCGTCGCGCTTATGAGGGACGGCGAGAGCTGAGTAAGGGCCACACGTTCTCACGATTCCCAACTCCCAGTCAGCACGCTTTGTAATACCCCGACGTCGGCCAATGCCGGCCCCGGAAGACTTGACTCGCGTCGACTCCGTCGAGTCGAACACAGCGAATAACTCTGTGGCCCGGGCCCGACACGTTGTCTTCAAGCAGGGTATTGCATGCGTACATTACCGCCCCATACACCGCAAACATTTCTTGGTAATAGTGATGTTCTAACTATAAAAATCTTGTAAATCATAAGGTGAATGCAACTACCTGGGTTTCAATAATTAGTTCCTCATTATTTTGAAATTTATCAAAGACAGACGTGCAAGGTGCCGTTTACTAACATCCGGACAGCTCTGTTCTTGAGGTTTCTTTAGTAACGAGGAGCTAGTTATGAGAACCCAGGTCGCCGTGTTCACCTTATTATTTAAAGTACTTATCAAGTAATAATGTCACTACTTATAATACCCAAGAACTGGTTGCAGTGATACAACATATATTCATGGCAATGCGCTTCTTAGACAGGGTTTTGAATTCATAGTGGCAAACGCATGGATATTCTGGATGCCCTCTTAAGCCCGTCGTGGACTTTCGCTCATACGGGCTTATTGTAGGTTATGAGAATACCACTATTTTCAAGCTCTTATGCGTTAATGGTGCATTGTAGAAGGAGTCAGAAGGCCTGGGACCAGGACACGATATCCTCGAGACACTAGTACATATGAAAGTGATGCTAAGTTTATTGCCAGACTAGACGATCAGCGTCGAAATCCTACAGCATAAGATTAATCTCAAAGTCGGCATATGTAACACTCACGACATTCGTGTTGAAACGTTGATGGGATGTCAACATCACGTCTATCCGCATGTTCGGGTCACAAAGCGGTCAAATAACAATATATTATATGTTGAGTAACACTCTCTGAAGGTAACGTTGGCAGTGAAACGCGGTTAATGACCTGGGGTTTATTATTTGATGCACATCGCTCGCCACATATTCAGTTCAGGTGAGCGTTGACATTGGGACTCTAGCTACGTCCTGACGGTTCATTTCATCGCCTGAAAGCAAGCCATGATAGCGGTTGATCATCTCTTTGCCGCTGACCTCGTAGATCGTAAGGAATAAAGAAAATCATCATGATTCTCCTGAAGATCGACATTTGAATAGAAATCCGAGACAGCCTCCTACATCGGAGTAACCTCAGAGAGCGTATGCGATCAATCATAAAGGTGCGAAGAAGCTGAGTGTGTGGTCGGATACGGGTATGGACCTGTGCACCTTTTCCCAAGCTGGTTGCTCATGCTTGTCCGTGAGCAATCTTATACCGAATCCAAGGCGCATGACGTGGGCGAAGGGGAAGATTATTCCGGGATTCCTTTGCACGGAACACCGAGCTGAAGAGGACGGTGTGAAAGCAAAGGTGGCGGCTGACGTCTAAATCGAGGACAACCGAGTTTCAAGCTGGATCGGTGGTGTGATAATTAGGTTGGGTAATAATAGATTGGCGCCTAACCAATACTGTACCATCAGACGAGTGGGAGAACGAACGTGGGATGAAGGTCAGTGACAAGTACATTCCCGAAAGAACACGTTCATGGCGGACTAGAGCAAGACCTTTTTTTTTTCGTCGGGCAAAGAGAGAGAATGAACGACGAGAGGGCCAGGATAATCGAGTGCCCTGGATGGCATTTACTCGAAGTGCCTGAAATAAAAAGAATGGGCCTGTTACGCAAGAATATATAGCCAAAAGGATTGCGGCACACTTTTAGAGATGGAAACGGGGCTGAACCTGGGCCTGAAATTTGAAACCTGGATATTAGGCGCCTATGCTGTCGGAGGTGGCTGAGTTGTGTGGATTTGCAGAGGCTATTCTGTGAGCTGCGGAAGGAGGGCGATGCGATCGATGATGGATGATGAGCTATGCAGGGAGACACAGCCCAAGATGGGAGTATAACTGGACGCATCGAGTGGTGATTCTGACGTTTCAAATCTGATCAGCAAGACAAGGCTCGGGAAGCGCACAAGTTACGACACAGGTACATATCATGAGCCATCTCCCAATTCCACCTCCTCCCAACCACCCTCCTCAGCCACACGCTCCACCTCCCCCGCCAGAGTTCCTCATCGATCCAGGCCCGTCCCAGCCGCACTTCGAACAGCCGTTGGTCGCTCCCCGCCCTCACAAACTAGACCCCGATCTGCCCGCCAACGTGTGTACATGTCATTTCAGCTAGCCGGCCTGAATACTAATGGGTACATAACTGTTACATAAACAGATGGCCAGACAGCTCGACAGCCAGCTAGCCGCTCACCAAAGCTACCGCACCCTCTCCCCTCGCCCTCCCGTCAATCCCAACCCGGGCTTCGTCAACCCAGCGGCCGTCCAGTATCAGCCGACTCACTCGCCCTCCCCGAGATCGTCCTCTATTGGCCCTGCAGGAGGCTGGGCATTGCCGGCAACGCCGAGGCCACACCCCCAAGGTCAACACCCCTCATCACAGCCTCAGTACAGAAACTCTGTAGCCGCGTCTTCTCTCAGCCCTCAAATGTCCGCCGTCTCTCTTGGCCCTCCCCAACCTCACCACCCACGCGCCTCTTCCATGTACTCCCAGTACCCTCCCTCCCCAGCACAGTCTCCCCCCGCCATGCACCAGACCGCTCCTCCTGCCTCCCTCACCGCTCCCCTACCCACACCACAGTCGCTTGCCAGCGCCCTCCCCGTCGTTCAACAGCCCACCCATGATCCCTCTTTCAAAGTCAACTGGGCTCGCGACGTCCTCATGCTCGTCGATCGCAGCCAGCAGAACCCTTCCGCCGAGATCCCCGTCGGTCCAGTCGAAATACACGATCCCCAGCTCCTTCGCCTTTCACAGGCTGCCGTATCCATGATCATCCAGATCGCCGACACCCAGCCGCTCCCATCACCCACCCCGACCCACATTGCAGAGGCGATTTACCTCAAGGCCACCCTCGAAGCTTCAGGTGCCTACCCTGACCACGTGCCTCACAATCCGCGCATGGCCTTTCGTGATTTCGAAAAATCCGCTAGGGCAGGCTTCCCACTCGCCTGGTTCAGGCTCGGCCGTGATTACGAGAACTTCAATGACTTTGCCCATGCAAGGGACTGCTTCGAGCGCGGACTCAAGGCTAATGTGGAGAGCTGCATCTACGTGAGTTCTCTTCCCGCTTTGATCTTGCTGTCGCTAACAGACCCGATCTCCAGCGGTTGGGCATGGCCAATCTCATGGGCCAATTAGGCCTCCCCGTCGCATACGATGCTGCCATCCCTCTTCTCCATCGTGCCGCTACGCTCGCTTCCATTCAGGTTCCTCAGCCAGCTTACGTCTATGGGCTCCTCCTCCTTGGCGAATTTTCCCACGTCACCGTACCCGATCAGTACTTCGGCCCGTTCATCCCGAGGGGATCTTCACTTGAACTCGAGGCCCGCAAGCACATCGAGCGTGCCGCTTACCTCAACTTCGCTCCTGCTCAGTACAAACTTGGCCATGCGTACGAATTCGCCCAGTCGCCGTTCCCGTTCGATGCCCTTCTCAGCGTCCAGTACTACTCGCTCGCCAGCCAGCAGGGCGAGATCGAAGCCGACATGGCGCTCAGCAAGTGGTTCCTCTGTGGCGCCGAGGGAAGCTTCGACAAGGACGAAGGACTCGCGTTTACTTTTGCAGAAAAGGCGGCCCGCAAAGGTTTGGCCAGCGCCGAGTTTGCCATGGGCTACTATGCCGAGGTCGGCGTTGGGGGTTCGAAGGATCTCGTTGCAGCTCAGGAGTGGTACGAAAAGGTGGGTTCGTATTTTGGTCAACTGCGCAGTGTATTTAATTAGCCGCCAACCAGGCGTCAATTCACGGCAACACAGACGCCACAGATCGGCTCGCTGCGCTATCGCAGCCCGATGCGCAGGCACTGTCGCGATCGGAGCACGACAATCTGACGGAGTCAAAGCTGGTACGCAAGCGGACACAGGCTAAGCAGCGCTCGGAGCAGGTTGGCGGACCCGCCGCCCCTCGGGCTTCCACGGAAGACACACAGCAGGTCGTGGACCTGGTGCGCAAGAATTCGCGGGCGAGGCAGCCGCGGGTGACTGCAGCTGCGGGTGGCCCGGGCAGCCTTGCACCTGTGAACGAGCAAGCGGGTGCGGGACAACGGCAATTCCCCAATCAACATCGATTCACGCTCGTTGATCCGGGGTCGAACCCTGGAACACCACCGCCAGGCCAGTCTCCACCGCACCGAGGAGGGCGCCCTGGTGGACCGCAGCGGGTGCCGTCTGGCACTGGGTCTCTCCCGACACCACAGCCGGACCAAGGGGCGCCTTTGGGTGGATCAGCTGGAGGCAAGAAACACGCGCCGCAGACATTTGCCGACATGGGCATTACGACTACGAAGTTGGAAGAAAAAGAGTGTGTGATCATGTAGAGATGACAAGATTGACTCTGTGGTGGATGCTGAGACTGATAATGCGATACTCCACGTACATTTCCGAGTTATGGACTAATAGAGACAGCTGTGGGTCTCAGCTCATGTCAATAATCAGACGGACTGGCTATAGTAGTAGCTAGCTAATACCCGTGTATTTATTCCAGTTAACGATTGTCAGTTACTTTACTGTATGCGTTTAAAAAAGGCATATTTCTGGATCCGTCTCGAGGCAAATGAAGTTCACATGGGGTAGACGATATAGCCCCTATTTATGACTTGTCCGACTGCTCCGTTTATCAATGTCGTTCTCATCCCAGTCAGCTGTTCATGTCGGTCATCGGCAGCACACGCCCAGTATATATACTCCCCACCCTCCAGCAGTTAGACTGGACAAGTCATGCCTGGAACAACTCTCCCCCCATTTCCCGAGGATGTTCCTACCCATCCCCTCTTGATCATCGACTACCACCTTATCTCTCAAGGCGACAAGCAAGAGATTGATAAGCTCTGGGAGGCAGCCACTTCCCTCGGCTTCTGGTAGTGAGTAAAGACTATAAGCCCGACCTGAGCTCGGAATTAATCTGAAAACTATTAGCCTCAAGAACCATGGAGCAGACGAACAGGTCGAGGGCATGTTCGACATGGGTGTCGAGACCATGGACCTCCCGTTCGAAGAAAAGATGAAATTCGAGCAGGGAGACGGCGGTCGATCTTGCGGGTATGTCCTGTTCATTTGATACCTAACCCTCTTTGACTTGCCATTAGATACAAGCGTGCCGGTGCCAACGCCGTCGATGAGACCGGGTATGTCAAGGCAATTTCCAGACACGTATTGTCTCTCATACCATGGCAGCGTCAACCTCGACACGGTGGAATTCATGAACATATCCAAGGATGATGCACTGGCTTACCCAAAGATCGCCCGCCGCGAATACCCGGACACCGTTAGCAAGAGTATGGAGTCGACAGTCGCACCGTTCGTGCGCAAGTCACTCGACGTTGTCTATACGCTCCTCAACGTCTTCAATGACAAACTGGGTCTGCCTAAGGGTACGCTCGCGCGCTTGCACGATTTACAGGAGTACAGCGGGAGTGAAGCGCGAGTGATCAAGAATCCGCCGATGCCTGACATGCCTCCGGAGAAGATTGCGCTCCAGGCGCACACCGACTTTGGGTCCTTGGTGAGGCGGGGAAATGGCCTCTTTCATGTCGTTTTCGCTAATATTCATTCAGTCGTTCTTGCACAACAAGCTGGGTGGTCTACAAGTGCTGCCGCCCGGGCACGCACATTGGTCGTACATTCGACCGATCCCGGGACATGCTATTTGCAACGTCGGTGACGCGTTGTACGTTTTCAGTGGAGGAGTGTTGCAATCCAACATTCACCGTGTCGTGCAAGTGAGGTCATTTTCTGGGATATATGGGTGACTAACACGACGGTTGCAGGCCACCGCCTGGTGCTCAAGGTGCTTACGAGAGATGGTCGCTCGTGTTCTTCCTTCGTCCGGGTGACTCGCAGGCGCTGAGAGCGCTCGTGGAGGATAGCCAAGCGATTGCAGACGGGGTAGCAAAACGACCTGGGAAGACATTCGAGACGGGGTCAACGGCGGCAGAGTGGTTCGCGAGACGAATCAAGAATCAGAGGATCAAAAACTGGAAGGTATGTTTGATGATCATTTTATTGGCTGATTTCTGATTGAACGTGGATGCAGGGCCCGGAGACGTGGAAGGCGAGTCGGGGTACGGAACACAACGAGCAGGTGGTCTGATATGACGTAGTTATGTATTGTATATATCATGTAGCAGTTGGAATACGACGACGTCATAAAGTGAGAGTTGGCTCATGTTTTGAAGACAAGTTGTGAGCTGTTTGGAGGAGAGAAGAACCCTAACCCAAGACAACACGTGTTTCCAACGTTGACCACTATTAGCACAGGCTCGAGGACGACGCTGACGGTCAGCCCGACGCCCGTCGCTGTCCCAGTCGTTGTTGCCAACGTCAATGGCATCTCCTCCTCCGCCGGTCGGTGTACAGGAAGCAGCAAGATGCTCGACACAGGCATGGCAGGACGCGCTAACAAGTCTCTTTGCCCACTCGAAGGACCGCTTCCCCGATGTCGTATGGGAACTGCAGTCCGATGGCGACCACCAGTCTGATGAACCAGAGCTCGTCTGGGGTCACAAAGGTCCGTTTCTGTCCCGCTCCCCCTGTTTTTTTGCACTTAATTATGGATTTGCAGCAATCGTATATGCGAGAGCTCCCCCATCGTTCCAGGCCCGTTACTTCCAGTTCCGCCCTGCCCCAGCAGCGTCGCCATCCCCATACTCTCCCTCTGCCACCCCAGCCCCAGCGCAGTCGTCTCTCTCCCTTTCCCTCACCCTCGATTTGCCCCGCAACTCCCGATCCCCCTCCCCCTTTGGCCTAGCCCCGTCCCCTGCTCCCTCCACACTCAACGGCGGCAACCTCCGCATACCCTTGGCCGTCAACTCCGTCCTCTTCTCCAACGAGCTCGAGTATCTCTACACAGGAAAGGGTCTCGGAGAGGCTTTCGAGTTTCTCTTCGACACCTCCGACAGCCGCGAACTCGTCGATGCAGAAGATGCAGAGGAGAACAGGCTGGACAAGCTCAGGAAGGATCTCGTCTTCATGTGGAGGTCTCGTCTCTATTCCGATGTTCGTATCCAGCTCTCCGGCACATTCAGCTCCAGCAACCATGAACCCGCAACCGCCATCTTTTCCTCCCACAAATTCATCCTCATGTCCCGCTCCCCATACTTTTACACCCAGTTTATCTCGTGGGGAACACCCACAAACCTCGGCGAGTTGGCCACCGTCACACTCCCTTCTCCTCCCTTTACCCCTGCCTCCCTCCACTTCACTCTTGGATACATCTACACCGGCACTCTCGTCTTTTCTCATCGGACTTACGATCTAGACACCGCCTTTGCCATCATGAAGTCCGCGACCTATCTCCAGCTCGATTGTCTCTATGATGAAGTACAGTCACGCATCGTACAAGAGATGCTTCATGGTCTTTTTCATGCCTTCCTTGAATTTACCGAATACGAACGCATCACGGGCGGCAAGTGGGGAACTGGTGGTTGTCGTTGCCGCCAATGCGCCCGTCGCATCCCTCGTGTACTCGAGTTCGCCATCGCCGAAGACGTCAAAAATAGTCATCTCGAGCGTGGTGCTCGTCGTGCCCTCGTCGGCATCTTTGGTGAGGGCTGGTGTACCTCCGAGTTTGCCACCCTCCCTCAGAAAACCCGCGATAACGTCCTCAAGGGCCTGGCCAAGCGAACTACCCCCCTCAACGTTTTCCCCCTACTCTTCTCCGCCAATCACGCCCTTCGCAAACTCGATGCTGTCATCGACGCCTGGGCAGACATCTCCCGGGATATGGTTAATTCTGCCCGCAAAGCAATCGACGATTGTCTCGTATCTCATGTCGAAGAGTGTTTCGAGCAACCCGACTGGCTCGAGATCATGGACGCCGACGGTGTTCATTTCGAGGATGGCGAACGTGTGGGGTGGGTCATGGATGCATTAAAGCGAGGTCTAAACGAGAAATACGCTGGTATGGTTTATCAGGTGTGTGTACTTGACCTTGTATTCTTGGTAAATTCTAACAATACCACTTCCAGACTCTCATATCTTCAATTCTCCTACGAACGCAAGAGGGAGATGTTGACAGCCCAATGCTGTCCAAGACGTCGCAAGTCCGTGTTCAGGTGGACGAAACCAGAGCCGACGTCCTTCGATGGATGCGCAAGCGTTGGATGGGGATTCGCCAGGAGGGCGGCTTTGATGGTCTTGAGACGTGGACGCTGAGCGAGATAAGTCATGGTGCGTGCTTCACATTTTTTCTATCATCGCTCACGCAATAACATGCATCTTAGATATTGATATCCCTGTCGAAGATATGCAAAACCCGAACGCTACCGGTCGACCCGTCAAGAATGGCCGGCCGTCCCTCGTCAAGACCGATGACCAGTCTGACACTGTCAGTATGCATTCACTGCGTGCTAGCGTGCTCAACCGCTCGACTGGCCCAAAGCGCGACGTCGCTTCCTCCTCCGCCTCTGTTCGGTCAGCCCGCAGTGCCGTGTCTCGGAGGCCCCATGCCCCTGCAACTCCCCGTGCTCACGGCAACGACGGTCGTCCAGATTCGAAACTGACGCCCGACCGTGTCTCTCTCGTTTCCGTCGGCTCCACTGCATCAACCTTGACCGAAAAGCGAGTTTCCAAGAAAACCCCTTCATCGCGGGCTACAGATACCAACGGAACAACACCCCGGACGACGCCTAGCCGCATGTCGACAGCTAGCACCAGTACTCGGACCAAGTCCCTCACCCCATCCCTGCACTCGCGACCCTCCAATGTGTCAACTCGCAGCGGCGCTGCCTCCGATGCTAACGGCAGCGCACTTCCCTCGCTCCGTATACCTTCTAACCCGAGACCTGCTTCGGCCTTGTCCTCTGCTACTAGCGAGTCGTCTACTTTCAGAACTGCACCCTCCCCCTCTTCCAACCTTCAAACGCCTACAACTAGCGCTGCAAGGGCACGACGGCAATCAACTGCCTCCTCGGTCTCGACCGCCAGTGCCAGAACAGTGGGCACGGCTGGCAAGAGCCCGATGAGGACCCGCATCTCCTCTACCTACTCCACGGCCTCTACCGCTACAACCTCGTCAGCGGTCACCAGTAAATCATCTGTTTCAAGGCTCTCCACCAAGGAACCGATTAAACCAAACCCCAATGCCACCATCAAGGCTTCACCAAATCGTGCCTCCACTGCGGCCAGGACACCTGCTTCAAAGGTCGTCATCAAGAAACAGCGCTCGCCTCCCGTCCCTACTACCGACAGTATTTTTGGAGAGAAGGGCAAGGCAAAGGAGACCGCACGCGACGATGGACCAGCCGCTGATACAGAGACCCCCGATCAGATTGCTGCTCACAGCCGGACGTCCACCGAGACGATCACAGCAAGTACACCCCGGACCCCCATGGACCAGACAGCTTCGTTGTCAGAGGAGGCGGTGTCTAACCTCCCTCGTGGTGCATGTCTAGACATTGGCATACCATGTATAATCTCCTCCAAGCGAAAGCGCTTCCGTGCCTTTGCTCGTTATATCGGCGAGGTCGAAGGAGAAGTGGGTCCGTGGGTTGGCGTCGAGGTCCCAATCGGCGACGGTTGGGCAGGTGATCCAACTGATGGGCGGCAGTGGAACGACGGAACGTGGGGTGGCGTCCGATACTTTGACATTGGCAACGCCGGTTCTGAATGGGAATTTGGGGATGACCATCGTGCGCCTCGACGGAGGCGTGTTGACTGGATTAATGGCTCGTCAGCCGTGGATCTCAAGGGCTCCATTAACCTCAAACGTGACGCCAATCATCTTACCGTCGGTACTATGAGATCAAAACGCTTGAGAAGTGCCTCCCCTGCTCCCTCCGACCTATCCAACCAAGAATCTCGTGGACTCTTTGTACGGCCGCAGCAGGTCTTGTATGTCGTTGACGCTGTCGGCGAAGACTTGTGATTGCTTATTGGCTGCGTTCGTTTCGTTCTGTTTTGTCGCTCTGATTATGCTCAAGTATACCAAAGTCGCTCCTTTTTTCATTAGTAGTATTCGTAATGCCTTTTTCTATTGGGATACCACGTACCTTATACCAAACGGTGGTCACATTCGTTTCATTTTCCATGTAATCAATTCATGCAATCTGAGCGCGGAATGCGCGAGGGAATATTCTACTTTGCCGGTATGGCATCAACTTTAAGATGAGTGTATCATATCTAAACGGAACAACATATGACTGGAAAACCAAATCCAGAGGTAGAAGTACGGGAGCCTCTTTATCCTTCAAGACCTCTTCTGTGCCTTCATCCACTCGTCGACCTTTGATCTATCCGCAAAAAGTCCGTGCTCAGCTTTGAGATGTCGCGTCAAGTCGTAGGCCCGGCTCACGACGTGTCGACACTCGGCACTGGAGCTTGAGCCATCAATTTCTGCTCCGTTTGCGCTTGTAGGCATCAAGTGCTCGACAGCGGGGAAAGGGCACTGTATAAGTCTGGGGTTCGCTCGTGCCCGAGCCTCATACGTTTGACCGGTGATTGACTCTATGCTCAAGATTGGACCTTCTCTGCCCTGGACGCCGCCGCCGCCGCCGCCGTCATCGCCGTCATCAGATCCGGTATCATCGCCTGACGACGACTCGTAATCGTCCGATACGTCCTCGGACGACGTTTCGTCCAAAGCTGAGCTACAGTGGATGCGGGCGAGGTGCCGTTCTAGCAGATGTTTGTACCCGAACTTGCTTGCGCAGTGTGCGTGAGGACATACGTGTGTACGTCGACCGAGATGGGTTACATTGTGATGAGTGGTAAGGGCCTTTTTCTAATTGTGTTATAGCGCATCGAGAAATAGGTTGAGGTGGGTTCAGTGAAATATAAAGTGAGGACGTACTGATTTAAAGTCCTTGCCGCACCCGACAATGTCGCATATCCAATCACGTCCCAGCTCACCACCTCGCCTTCGCTTTCGTGGCCGAGTCGTTTGTCCATCAACATCGCTGTCGACTTGGTCAATCAACGACTCAAGATCACGCTGTTCATGCAACTTCATGTGCGCGCGGAGATTTTGCCCTGAAGCAAAGGTACGCCCATCGCAGGATGGGTGCGTACATGTTGGAGGGTGATTGGTTCGGATGTGAGACTGAAGAGCGGTCCATGTAGGATAGTGTGCTGGTGAACTGCCGGATGGGGGCAGGCATGAAGGGTGTGAACAGGTATATCGTCTATCTGCAGAGGTTCGAGTTAGAGAGCAGCTAGAAAGGCAAGTTTACGCACCATCATGCATCTTGAGGTGTGATCGCAGTTTCTGATTCGTGGAAAATGACTTCGAGCAGGAAGGATGATCACACTGGTAGGGCTTTGTACCGGGAGGGGCGTGCACGTCGCATACATGCGAGCGTAATTGATGATGTTTTGAGAATGCTTCGTCGCAGCCTGGCTCCAGACACTACTCATAAATGAGATAGGGAACCAACATCACCATGTCTGGCTACTCACTGCGTAGATTTTGGTGCCCGAATGAGTAGACTCGTGCACACGTAGATGTTGCGATGTCCAGAACCGCTTCTGGCAATCACTGTCGTGAGTGCAGACGTACGGCCGCGTTGAATCAGGGAGATGGCTTCGAACGTGAGCTTGCAGATGTGACTCGCGAAGGTATGACTTGTGACAAGTTGTACATGCAAAAGGTCGCTGAAAAACCGGAGTAGAATGTTTGCAAGCGAGCGGGTGCGTGGTGTGTGCAGCTAATCATACTTCACCAGTGTGCGAGCGCTGGTGCTCTTTCAGTCGCGAGGGCTTCCGATAGCTTTTGGGGCATCCAGCATGGGAGCAAGTGTATCGAGGAGAGGAAGGAGGCATGGTGTGTGCAACCAAACAAGCCTGCGCTACTCCCAGAGAGTGACTCAAAACCAGTGGATTGCGGTCGGTGACCGCCAGTAAGAAGCGGGGTTTCACCTACGCAGGACGACGGTTCGCGTCACAACCGTCACGAGTGACCTCTGTCGCAAAGTTCATTTCCGGCTGCAGCCAGTCGCAATCGACTACACATCACTAAATGGGGGGATGAATCAGTGGATTGCAAGTCGGATGACCGACACTGTCAGTCAGTGTCGGTCATGAAACCCAGTGAGAATCCGCTATGAGTGCAGCGGAGCGTGGATGCTCACATGTGATCGGGATTTGAAACGCCATCAAGCAATGGAGGTACTCATATGCACGTATGCCAGACGCGTGCTGTATCATAAATCTGCAATAGCATGTCGGACGGGGCAGGATACCATCTGACTTCATATGAGCATAATCGTACAATCATATACACTCATATTAGCATGGTACGCATCTTGGAGCATTATCTGAGCCCATATGATTACAACGATCAAAAGGCAATAGCAATCGCGCGACCGATTAGGATGGGCAATATGACAGGATATGATTGCTACAGCAGGTATAGAATACACGGGGACACAGCATTGGTAATCAGGAATACAGCAGTTGTCTGAGCAGGGCTACACGAGAGCAGCTAAACGGGCCGAGCAGAGGATACAGAGCAGCACAAAGCGGGAGAATACAACGAAGATGATGAGGAAAGTGTTGTCATAGAAGGTCGCTGTTGAGAGCGTCTTTGAGAGACAGATTTGTTTTGTAGTTCGCGTTCTTGTCCCACTTGCCCTCGGAGACCTATAGGAGCTGTTAGAACGATGACGAAAGCAAGCTGAGATCACGTACAAGCTTCGAATGTTCGCTATCGTAAAGCTGTAAAGAGGTGAGAGTATACTCCTCGCACGAGCAGAGTAATTAACGTCTTTGTTTCTTGGGGGAGTCTGCTATAGTACGTGTTGAATGTCGCCGTTGTCTTGCTAGAAACCGCCGGATTGCTGGAGCGTAGGTAACGGTGGGCACAGAGCATCCTAAGGAGAATATCAGTACAGATCATAGAAACACTGCATTTGAGTACTTACTTTCCGCTGGGTTTCTTGTAATTGACGCGCATTTTTGAACCCGTGTCAGCATTAACAGTGGGAATGGGGACTGGAGTGGCAGCAGCATCCGGGGATGGAGGTGGAGTGTTGATGGGCTTGACCTCGGCCTCATCGTTCTGAGTCGGCGGGGAGCCTCGAGAACTAGTGTCGGCAATAGTGGGTTCAGCAGGGGTTTTGGTGGCTGCGTCAGTGGTGGGAGATGCGGGCGAAGTTGTGATGAACCTCGTAGTTGCAAATGTAGCCAGGGATCTATATGACAAAGTCAGATGATGCTAGCAATCTGAGGAAGGAGGCGATGTACAGGAGATCCTCAACCTGTATCTCCTCGTCAGTATCTCCAAAACACAGCTCTTTCAGCCCGTCATCGCTATCGCTTTCATTGCCCTCCATCGAAGTAGGCGTTGCTGGCACATTCGTGTTTGCAGGAGGCGCCGAGTTGATTGCTTGGGGTGCGGGGGAGACAGAGGTCTCCACTACTTGGAACATGTAAGTGTCAATGAGAATGTATTATGAGTAAATAAGCGTCACCTTTACTCCTTTTCAGCGCCCTCTGTGATGCAGGAACGTGGCCTAGAAATAGAGTGTGGCAGTTAGATAGGACAAGTAGTAATATCGTGCACTGCTTACTATCGCTTCTCGCATGTTTGACACTGGTTGCATGCCCCTCACCATCACCATCCTCCTCCTCCTTAATGTCATCACCCGACTCCTTCCGGAGCCACCTCCCGTCCTTGTCGAGGTTGTTCTGCTTCCAACCAGGGTACCACTTAGTGAAGGAGAGCTTGAGCTTGTACCCGTCGCTATCCAACCTAATAATAATATCAACACAATGTCACAGCCACGAATGATAAACACGTACACAAATTCTGGGTGGTTCTCCTCCATGATGGAGTGAACAAGAATACGCCCGGATGCACTGATCTGGCTCCAGGTTTGCGGAGCCAAAGCTCTCTGGACCAGCTCTGCGCAGGCAAGGCGGCATGTCTTCTGAATTCGACTGATATCTTCAGCGTTGAGCTTGGTTCCGTCCGATGCCCGCTCAAGATATGGCTCAGGACCACAAGCGTTGTCAGACTTTTGAGCTTCGGCAGAGATGAGCCAGGTGTTGTAGGCCTTCGAGGTGTAGAATCGAATGTAGTTGGGATGAGATGGAGAAGTGGGGCGGTTGAGCTTGGTGATGGGAAACCTGGGGAAAGCGCCGCTTGCGATAAGCTTCTCATAAAGCAGACTAGATTGTGTCAGAAATGACACGCATATGTGAACATCGAATGGGACTTACACTGTTGTTTTATTCTCGACACAAAGAGCCTCCCGTTCCACCAGAAGCGAGGTGTTCTCAATCTCCAGCTCGAATATGTGTTGTTGTAGAGAGAGGTAGGGGTCTTTGTGGTGCATGTAGTTCATTCCCTGGTTCGAGTTAGTCAAAATTGTCTCACAGACTCAAAAACTACAAACCTGCTGAGACCCATACGATGCACCAGAGACCATGGAGCTGGTCATTGTAGCACAGGGGCCTTGCATGAGTGAGCCAGTTGATATGGGGTGTAGAACTGGCGGTGTTGTGATGATGGTAGCAGGTAGGAATATGGTTTAAAGTCAGATGTGCAACGCGCGTCCATCTGAAGTCACGGGCCGACAAAATCAGTCCCTTTCCCTTCTGTGTAATGGCTCACAAGGACACGGACACAAACAAGTTCGTGGTGCAAGTACCACTCAAGAGCACACAGGCATACAAGTTTGAGTTCACGCCAGCTGCTCCTGGCATGATTGTGAGTGAGAGTTGCATATGTTCTGACTGAAATAACATACTTTTTGCAGCGCATTCGCGTTAAGCCCCTCTGCGAACATGACTTGGCAGCAGAATCGACGCATGAAACCACCAAGCAGGCTGGGTTCGACTACAGCCTCTCCCTCGGCTTATCTGATGCTGCAACACCAGCCCCAAGCTCGCCCTGCTTTCCAGGTTTCGCCTCAACCAGGAGGAAGAGGGCTCAAACAGAGAGATCGAGTCAATCTGGGCCTGTGGAAGATGCTTGTGACCCGGCACCAAGTCAATCTGGCCTGGTGGAAGATGCTTGTGACCTGGCACCAATCCCAGCTGTTGTTTTGTCATCTCTTGTGAGTACAACATCAAAGATGATACCCTTTTTGCCGAAACTAATGACGGTGGCTTTTAGGTTAATCACCTCACCCCCTGGCCTAACGAGAAACAGAAACACCAGTAGATAGCAATGGATTAAGTACAAATATGTACGAACTGAATGAATCATTATTTGTCTACATCATCCTGGTCCTCCAGTGGCTCGTGATCTCCCGAGCGAGAAGTATCTAACCCAGGCTTTTCTGTGACAAAAAAGCGGTCCCCTTCAACCTGTGATGGGAATATCATCCTGCGGGGTACCATGCCAACGACACTGAGGATGTCTGACACGGCAATAACTCGCAGTTCCTCAGTGTAAACACAGCTAAGAACAGTTTGCTGTGATAACTCGGCGAGAGCTTGATCTGGTTTTGAGAATAACTTGACGACTGCAACACCCTGCCACTTGACCTTATCAGCAGCTTCAGCAACCGGCATCACGAGACTTGTGTAATACAACGCCTCTGCAAACCAAATGGTTGTACCAATGAAAATCTAAGGACCATGTCAGCATAAATACAGTAAGGTAATCTGAAGCAAACCTTTAGCATGCGAGAGCAGCGGAAGTTCTCGGAGCTCTCGAGGAATTTCTCCCTCCACTCACTCCGAGCAACTTGACCATTAGGCAGCAGCAAATGGCCATGCCGCCGTATTTGCTGAATTGGCTGAGGTGAAAGATACCTAATAAATGTGTTGAGTTCACCATTGCATAGCTTGTACTTGTATCTCTCATGTTTCGGCAGTAGAACAAACCTATTTTTCAAATCCAGAGAGCCCTGTGGGTACTGTGAGACTTGGGCTTGCTCGAAGAGTTTGGGAACAGTGCCATGAAGAGCATTCGCGCGAGCAATGCGGACACCAATATTCTGTATATTGGCAAGGTAGTTTGATGGTTGCCGGATGTCGTACTTGAGTATACCTATAGTCCGTTCCATAGCCCACTGAGAGTAGCAAATAGGGGGGCCTTTACGCACTACTTTGTAGGCCAAATGGAGAACCTGATGGACGCACGGTGCAATTAAGTGGAGCCGGCATTCGAGTCCCTGATAATAGATCTCTTCGAACTCGTGTTGCCATTCATCCAAGAGAGTTGCTGCCTGAGTGATTTGAGATGCGGTAATCGAGTACTGACAAAGGAGCTGAAAGCCACGGACAAGCTTGCAGAGATTGAGCCAGTAGCGCTCAGGAAGCACCCGATAGAGAAGCCCAGGTGCATAAGCAAACACGTATATGTAGTGCTCCCAGGTCTTGTAGTCTGTATTACCTTTCTGTGCAATGTTACGAGGTTTTGCATCAAACAAGCGGGGAGTACGGCACCCGGCATTACCAATGCTTTCACCATGAGCATCCCACTGAGCCTTATCCAAGAATACAGCAAAGTCCCAAGTTTCCTTGTTGTCAGCATGATGGCACTTGATGGTGCCACACCAGAGTGAGAGCATGAGTTTCGAGATGTTCAAGACAAGATGCATTGAGTCTGGTGCCATGCAGTTCGGCACACCAAGCGACCGAGCGGGTGACAGTCCTAGTAAAAGCGGAGGTTTCTTGATGCCAGTATCCCTGCGTAGTTCTTTGAATGTGTTCATGTCTCGGGCGGCGGTCAATCTGTAGAGGTTATCATAGTATGCGGGGTTTGCTGGTAAAGGAAGGTGTTGTATAGAAACATCCTCGTGGTTACTTCCCTCACCGGCTCGATCACGGGGCTTGATGAGAACAGGATAGTAGTGAGACTCTTGTCCATACCGTCTTCCCTTGACACCACAATACATTCGACAGTTAAGGTAGCCACTGTGGCCATTCAAACCATCAACATAGACCAGCCCAGGTCCATCAGCTAGTGGATAGAGGAAGTAGAGGTTCCCAGAGAAGACATCCTTCCAGTGAGCATCATAGTATCGCAGCCCCTCGCGTTGCACTGCCGCCAAAGCACCAAAGCCAGGAAAGAGAAAAGAATTGAGATTCTTCGGCTTTTTGGGACCGGGGATGAAGCCGCCTGGAAGGATATGAACCTTGTGGTATCGTTTGTCGGGCGGTAGATTCACGACAATCCATACATAGACCCAGCAATCGGAATCCTTATCCTCGAAGACCTGAGTACTGTCAAGAGTGCACATGAGAACAATGTCATTTGGCTGTATGTCGCCGTCTAAGACTGCTCCGAGAAAGTCCCATCCCATAGCTAGATCGTTGACAACCGGGATCTTCTGCGTGTATCAAATCTCATCTAGAATCTCTTGAACACAGCGTGACAGGTACTGCATATCTCGTGCAATTGCCGGACTTCGGAGTGCAGCCTGGATTTGAGGAACAACAGGAATGGTAACGAACGTTTTTGCAGCAACCTTCAGACGATCGTTACTTGATTCAAATTTCACTTGATCCCAGCGAGACTTTCTGCAGTCGGGATTAGGACATGTTTCGAGTGCGGCATATGGCCCGGTGAACACGTAGCAAGAGTCTGGGCACATATCGTGAACAATAATGTCAATGCCAGTGATGTTGGCAATATATTTCTTGATGGTCTTGTACAACATGGCATCGTGATTGTTTGTAGATGTAATGTACGCCCGGATGACCTCATCATAGGCCCGCTGCGAGGTGTGCTGCAAGGCCAAGTACGTCTTCAGGCTGAAGAGTACACCTGGACTGTCAATATCAGCGGGTTCCTGAAGGGGATTGCAGAGACGATCGCGTGCTTCCTGTGTGAGCTTAAGAAGAGGATCATCGAGAGTGACATTGTGGAGATAGGTAATGAATCGCATGCTTTCCTGTAAGCTGGCTAGTTTTGCGGAACCCGACAGCCTCTCGAGATCAAACGCGGGGGGACGCCGTCTGTTGTACGCAATTCGAACAGGCGGCAGCGGTGGTGGTGGTGGTGGTGGTGGTGGCGGCAGTGGTAGTCGTTCTCGATTGTTGTTTTCATCATCATCATCATCAGGTGTATTGGGACGGCAATCGCGTTCGAGTGAGTTGGCTCGGGTTTCATCTCGTTGAGGGTAATCTGCCCGAGTTGGTGATCATGACTGTCCTCTGCCGGAGTTGGAGGACTGGGTACGGCCACAAGCGTCTTGAGACCGCAATGCAGGGGAATGGGACCGACTGTGAGTAGGGGAGATGTTGTGTATGTTCTGCTCGTGAGTTGAGGGCGACCTGACACGCCTCTGTTCACCCAAAGTTCCAGCCAACACCTATTAACGTGAGTATAGACATTCAGAATGTTGTGCTTTGGTGGACACACCTCTGACCACGCTCGTTTTCTCCTCCCCACCCTTGCCGACGGCTCCTCTGTTGCTCGCGCTCGTTTCCTGAGATCTGCCTCTATCTGTCTCCATGTTCTCGACTGCTCGGGTGGAGGTGCAGTTGCTCGTCCCCGCGTACGTGACTGTGTTCCACTGGCTTGGTACTTGGATTCAAGAAGCCTCCCGCGCTCATTCGGGGAAGTGACTTGGCTAACATGGCTGTAAAATGTGTGCTCCGGCACTTCGTGAGGCTGTCCATAGTGGTAGTTTTTGCAGAGACAGAGGACCAGGCGAGGATGAGAGGCTTCAGAGGCCTGATCCTGCATGATAGGACTGAACATATGTTAGATATGAACCCAACCAGAGGAGAATTGAGACGCACCTTGGACACTTAGAGAGTGAAGAGATCGAAACATGCACTCACAAACATTGCTAACGCGCAATGCTATCCTGAGAGAGCCTTGCTATCACACCATATTATACAGAGGCATATACGAAGCAAGGAATGTCATAGTATTGCAACGCTCGCAAGGAGCAGGGGGTAACAACGTGAGGATTAAAGCAAGCGCGAGCAAGCGCATGTTCCAAAGCTGGATTTGACTATTCGGACATATCCGAGCCGACCCGGCTCCACAGCCTCCGATCCAAGCAGACGTCGGCTGATACACTCATAACCGGTTCTCACTGGGCATGAAAAGTCATCGAAAGTCATCAGACCCATGATGACTTTGACTGACGCGTCTCGGTAACAGTTACTCAAAGTAGCTGAAGGTAATATTAGCCCCTATCCATATGTCTCATGTACTATAGACGTAGTATACTCAATGTAACAACATTTATGACAATAGAATACCCTCAGTAGTATCATCTAAGTCAACATCAACACACAACCCTTGAGTATCAGAAGATGGAGGCTGAGATCTAAGTCTATCATCTCGTAAAGAGCAAGTTCCTCTTGGAACTGCTTTGTGGCACCAAGGGAATAGATAGTCGACCAACTACTAGACTCGTTGAAGTTAAAAAGTGTGGCCAGAGGAATGGGCGAAGTAATAGTAGACCCGAGCCTCACAGGCTTTGAGTCAGTGCTGTCTTCCTTAGCAAGCTGCATGTGTTGCTGTGCAATGAGATGAAATGAGTCTGCTGAAAATGATGCAGATGCAGCATTAGTGGTCGGCAAGTCTTGACTCTGTGGCTCTGGAGATTCCTCTAAGTCGTCGAGTGCAGAGAACAATGGCGTTTCAGGTTCGTTAGAGTTGCTGGGAAGTGTCTGAGGGAATGTAGAGATGGGAGGGAAATGGTTCTCGCGCGAATGTTCTTTCATAGAATGTAAAAGTTGTTGTTTCTTCTGTGATTTCTGGTCGCGATGTTCGTCCCTGATCATCATCTTGAGTTCAGCAAGACTTTGAAGTGTTCCGGTCCCCAGACCATTGCGTAGCTTAGTTAAAATGATTCTGAATGCACTAAATAAGTGTTCGCAGTGATCATAAGGACTCAGCGGGCTAGCTCAATAAATGGAGAAGCCACCGAGCCATTGTAGCTGGTGTCGAGATATAGTGAAAGCGGATCTGGATGTTGATTCTAATTATTTGTTAGCATAGAAATGATAGAACAGCTGAAAAGAGCTCACCTCCCACTGTGCATTGGCCAGAGCGTGATCAGCAACTTGGTAGAGAGTCTGGAACTCTCCTTCACCAAGTAAATAATCCCTAACCTGTGAGTCGAAGCCAGGAGGAGCAGAAGTACAGGAAAATAAACGGCAGTAAAGCCACTTGAGGAGAAGTTTGACTCCACCAATAGTAAGTGGCTGGATCTGGGCGAATGGCTTACGACCATAGAACAGATTCATTATTACAGCAGCAATGAAGACCTCTTGATTGGCCTTAGCCCAGCAAGTTTCAATGCTTGAGATTATTGTCTCGCACACCTTGTTGCTCACAGGATCGGCATTGAGAAGCTTGCGGTATTTTTTGATCAAGTAGCCGAATGTTAGTAGGACCGTATAGAGGTGGCAGTGAGCTGCCTGCGTAATATTTGTTGCTACTGCCAGGGGTTCAAGATGATTGGTCACCCTAGAAAATAGAGAACTGTTCAGTAGACATTCTATAATAAGAGTAGATTACTTGCCTCTTAATCGAAGGCCAGAAGGTATCTGAGCGATCTTGTATTAAGTTGAGCATTGACATTGCTTTATCCCTTGCTTTCCTATCACCTGTAACAAAAAGCGGTTTTTTATTTACACAAACAAGCTCAGCGCCAGAGATTTGAATAAGGCACAACTTAAGATCAAGAAGGTGTTTGTATGCCATGAGGTGAGCTGTCCATCGAGTAAGAACTGCCCGGATGACTGCAGTCACAGACTCTCCAGTGTTCTTCTGGAATTCCTCGATGTGAGCTAGTATAATGACCTTCCCGCGAAGCCAGCTGATTTGTTCGTTTGCTAGGTCTGTGTAGACGAATAATCCCGAGTTCCACTTAAAATAGTCGCTGACTACTAGGTTTATCTTTATGGAATAAAATAAGCTAACACCATGAATGTTTAGAATTAAGACATACCTGATGTGCATAGCAGTCGAGAACAATCAGAGATGGATTGCTGATACCCAGGAGGTGCCAAGCCTTTCAACACTCTCCAGAAGCGTCAGTCACAACCGCAATGACTTTTGAGCCCCATGAGTCATTAACATTCTTTATTACTTCCTCAAGCTTTTCGAGAAGCTTGTTGGCCGTCTTACGCTCCTTAGAGACGTCGTAAACATTAACTGTATGTATCTGACCGGATAGAATTAGATTAAAATTGATATACAGAATAATGATAGACATACCTTTGTCTGTGTCGTGATCATAAAGGCTAGAAGGTGATGATTATTTATTCCTGTCCAGCCATCGGCCTGAAGTGTCGATTCATGACCTTTGACAGCTTGCTTCACAGCAGTACGAAGCTCTGACACCGCCTGAGGAATAAGATGTCGAGCCATCGTATACTGAGAGGGCACCTTTGCAGCAGGAATAAAGTCGTGGCAGAAGGCGTGCCACTCTGGATTATCGACCCAAGAAAGCAGGAAATTAGCAGATGCGGTGAGGCGGGCAAGATGTTTTTCGAAGGCCTGCTGCAATGCCTTTGACCAGTCCAAAGGAGGCCGAAAAGTCCCGCTTGGTGCCCGAGATAATATACGTGAGCCTGAGTGCGATGGAAAATTCGGAAGGCCAAAAAGCTGAGGTGTCTGCCATGGACTTGCAGCCCGAGAAAAATCCTCGGTGGCCACAGATGGACTGGGACCAGGAAGAGGCGCTGGAGAGAGTGCGAGCACTGAAAGGGACGGAGAATTAAAGCGGCTTGGTGGGGCCGAAAACGAAGATGTATTAATGTTGAGGCTTGGATTACTAGGCTGAGCAGTGGCTGGAGCAGCAGGAATGCTTGCTGGCATAACCTGCTGCAAGGATCCTGCGCTATCAGTGAGAAAATACGGCTGAGGCACATATTGATCTAAGTCGCTGGTTAATCATGTGTATATAACATATGAAATATACTCACATGCATTCAACATGACAGCTTGCTGCTGCAAGTTTGAACCGCCTTCCTGCCCTTGAGTATTGCGCTGAACTCGCTGTTTTGCTGGTGAAGAGGGCGCGCAGTGATACGTAGTAGTAGCTTCAAATTCAGCCCAAGCAATCACATCTTGAGGCTGCAACATGCAGCCCCTCAAATGGTTGAGCGCTGTTGGTGGCCACGACTGAACCCATGGATGGTCGCGGCCATCTTCTGTCCATACTAAAAAGTGTAGAATAAAACCCTGAACTTGTAAGGATAAAAAAAAATACATACACTCGAGCTCGATCTCCTGGACAGTGTGTGCATGAGCGCGGTTGCCATCCCGAATAGTGTTGGTATCCTGGGCCTGTTTTTCAGCGATAACACTATGCATACACTGCTTACAGAACAGCTTGGGTTTGCCATGAACATGGGACCCAGTCTGCTTGCCATTCGCCCAGCCAGGGTGCACAATAAAGTGGTTGTGCCACCAAGAGGCCTTGGTCTGTTTCGGCATTGATTTTTGAGATGTGAGAGGAGGACTGATGCTTCAACCTTCGTCCTCTTGTTCACCATTTTATATCTACTCGCTGCTGTTCTGTATTTTCTGCGGCTAAGGTTGATTTTCTCTATGCTATCGAGCTGGTTAAACAATGTCATAGAATGATGTCTCAGTGCAGAGACGTCACTCCTCATGAGAGGACAAGTCCTGCATGGCGAATACTACAGAAATGCTCCACAACAGGACAATGTACATACATTTCATTAATGTACCAAGCCCATGACAGTTTCATAAGCACTATTAATGAGTGATATATTGAATGTGAATTAGTTCCTCAATGAATGCACAGCTTGCAAGTGCTGCTTTCCATTTAACACACACTTCTAGTGCCACAACCAGCATAGAACTTGTATGTTTTTCGCCTGTTTGTCATTTTACAGCCTTCACATTGACTATCATAACTCGGGAACTTCACACTATTAATTAATGCTATATAGAAGCACATACATGTTTTTTATTCGAAGGTTGGGTCCGTGAGACATGAGCTACAGCCTCAACTTTGCTGCAGCCGCACCTGAGGCACGTTTCTCACACGCAAATGACTTTGATCACATGATTTAATATTACTATATATGGCGTGAGATCTGGTTTACGGCTAATAACAAAAAGTCACTTCAAGTCATGACTTTTTGTGATGGTCACTGGAAGTCAGTGACTTCGGGATCTGTCCTGACTCCCAAAGTCACTGACCGCAATCCACTGGGATGAATGATAAGTAAATGATCATGACCGACATCACAGATAATTACAAACATATGCCGGGGAAATGGTGATACTCTGACATTAGTAGCATGTAAAGTCCATTTTGAGCATGCAGGAAAGATCACGGGGATATGATGATAGAAAAGAATCTATGATCTACTCGAAGGGGCGTATTATCATTAGTAGATATGGCATGATAATAACATATGGTACTCACAGCTAGTATAAGTCACAACAGGTGCATTATAACAATTTGCGATGTTAACTCCGTGCCTGCCCGGAAGTATGTGGGACGTTTGAGCTAAGCTCCACTAGGGATATTGTGTCTGGAATGCTAGCGTAAGGACTCGGAGGGTGAGCGTAGGGTAAGCAGTCAACGGTAGTGATGCGGAGGGGATGGGAACAATACCGGAGGACCGGCATGTAGGGAGTGAAGGTGCCGTAGGCACCGAAGGTTGACAGGAGGGTACCGAGGTATGAAGCGAGGGAAGACTTGAAGATAGATGAAGACACAAGTATCGCTGAAGACACTTGGAGTAGGAATTTGCGGGAAGGACTTAGAGGCGAAGAGGAGTAGAGGGCAGAAGTAAGTCAATATTCATACTGAGGAATACAGGCTGAACTATACAAGTATTTATACTACTGCTCCAGAGTCGGAGGTAATGTACGATGAGTAAGGAACGTGCGGAAGGAACAGATCGTTAGTAAGTAAACATGAGATAAAATGTCGGATGCAATATCATAGCAACTGCGGAATGATAGGAACGTCAAGAAGTGTCAAAGGTAGACAGGTAGCAATGAGACTAGTAGAAAAGGATGTAATAAGGAACGACACCTGTCAAACATGTAGCGAAGAAGAGTAGCAAGGTGGCTGTGTGGATCGGAACGTCGCCGTAGGGACCGGAGCAGGACCGGAGCATGACATGCAATCACGATGCGGTTTCCAATACCAATAAATTCATTGCAAATAATACAGTACACTCTACAGCAGACATTACAGTATACAAGAGAATTTAGTGAGGCTAGCATTTGCAAAGGATGAGTATGAGCAATATACAAGAGCAGCTCCTATTAGGCCCGGGCATGTGTCGCCCGCAAAGCAGCTTGAAGAAGCGCCAGGCAGGGAGAATGTGCAATAGTGTGTACAAGTTCCTGAACTTAAGTGGAAGGCCGTGCTTGTAGGCTGTGGAGGGGGCAACCATGCCTCTCTCTGTACTCCCAGCCGCCAAGCTGCCAGCTGAACTCGAGCCCTTGGTCTCGTATATGCTTGAGGTGGTGCTTGTGTTGCTGGTTCTTGCGGAGCTGGATGATGCAGTGGAGCTGAATACGGATATGGAGGGTGAGGACACAGAGGCAGGGGAGAAAGCAAGGGACCAGCTCTCAAGGAGGACAAAGTGCCTGGTGGGCTTGACGTGCACGCAGGACAAGTCCGGGGTGTGGTAGATGAGCACGTGGCTGGTTGCATGGCCTGTGTGCTCAGGTACGGTGAGGAGGACAATTAGGGCAAGGGTGGCTGGGGTTGGTGATGGCAAAGAGGATGAGGATGATGAAGGGGCAGAGGAGGAGATGGATGGGCGGAGGGGCGAGAGGTTGAGAAAACAAATGGAGGGGCGAGAAAACAAACAAATTAAGGCAAGACAGCTAGTGATTGTACAGAGTATGGACAGAGGCTGATGTACTATATAGTTAGATGGAATCTTGCAACATAATCACATGATGGCGCCTCCCGTGTATCACTTACAACAGCAGGGTGTAGTCTGCAGGCTGCCAGGGAGAGAAAGGGTGCTGAGGGGGGTTGGGGTGGAAAGTGATGTGTGAATACTGCAGAGCAGGCAAATGAGGGAGATTTCTTGGGTGAGGATGAAGCAATCACTGACAAGGCCGGCTTTGATGCATTGTAATCTTCAGTTAGTGGCTAACTGGTGTATGAACAATCTCCTATAATCGAGTGTTCATATTACCTCCGACATGACATTCAGATTATTATGCTTCAACATATCGCAAGTGATGTTATCTTGAAATTTGGTCCATGGTAAGCTCACTACCATATGGTACTTAATGATAAGAGCCCTATGATATGATAATCCTGTTATCAGATAGTGAGCTAACACTTAAACAATGTTGAATCATTGCCATTTACGATCATACACAATTATATTAATGGTCATCTTATAATACTCACAATCTCCATTATGCCCTGAAAAATTTCCCCTGATTTAGTGATGCAAGTCAGAATGATTTAATAGTATTTTATATGATTGGGAGCACATTGCGACTGACACAAGCAATTGCAATCCACTTTGAGGAGCGTTGCAACCGCTTGCAGCTTAGATGTAATAAAATCTCAACCACGGTTGCTAAAAATACTCTAAAGTCTGCGAGACCTCCGCTGCATTCCCACCTCAATTAAATTGCAGGCTGGTTGCAAGGCACCAAAATTGCAAACGGCTGCAATTGAACCAACAACTTTGCAATATCTGCCCCTGTTGCATGCAAGTGGATCCCAGGTGCCAGGGCCAAGCTGAGGCAGACTCAGCTCACTTGCCTGTTCTCGCTCTCGCTCCCGCCTCAGCCCTCGACCGCAGCAACTGAGCAATTTTCTCAATACGCCAGCACGTATTGCCAACATTGATTTTGTGGACAGCCCACACATGCCCATGCACGTTGCCTCAAGGAGCCTCAAGGAGGGCAACCAGCACCCATGAGCGTGGCGCTGCTGGAGGTACAATAGCCTTTCTTGGCTCGACAAGCAATGTGCCAAGCCCACAATCTGACACATGGAGGCATGACTTCCTCTCCTGTATGCACAGAAGAGTGCATGGAGCACAACACAAGACACTCAGGAACAACTCACCGAGCACATTGAGAGATGTTGAGGGCTTGGGAGGAGAATGAAATTTGAGAGGGCAAGGTGAGTGGTACCTTGCTGGATTTTGAGCGCTAGCTCACACATTGAGTTGAGAATGCAAAGCAACAGCCTTGAGAACACCCAGGAAATGGGAAAGGCAGCATATGCCACCTCAGCGGTGCAGCAGCGCGGTGGCAGTGGTGGTGCATATACTTACCCCCAATGTTACCGCCATGCTTGTCACTTTGTATGTACGTATATCCTTCATCTTAACAAGTGCACAATCTTCTGCCAACTAGAGCTGGAGCTTGATCAGGAGCTGAAGAAGGCAGCCTCGAGTTTTGCGAAAAAGTGTGCATTCACTAACCTAGCTGGATTTTACAAAAAAAAATCTGTCCATGTTTTGTGAGGACTTTGAAAGGTGATATTGCAGCCAAGGGTCATCTTGATGTCTCGCCCTGACTGTGCAGAGAAACCCGTTGACATATGGATGCAAATCTCCGAAGAATATATGTGGCAGGTCTGAAAGTGGTAGATATCTATGGTTATATCTGGTGCACAACAAGTTGATGTTCATAGGCAGACCTATGCAGAAAGGTCAGGAGTGATTCTGGAACCTTAGCCCCACCACATAGCTGATCCCTTGGTGGAATCCATGAGTGACATGTGAGATATGGCGCAAAAATGAACAGCCAAATCCTCGCTCAGTCAAGCTGACACCCTTGACTTGTACTTGGTCCCTTAACTGTACTGAAACCTCTCCAATAACCTCCAAAACCTTTATCTTCATGTATCTTCATGTCTTTCTTAGCTTGAGACAAAGCAACAAACTTGCCTGTTGTCTGGGAGAGATGCCAGTGAGATGTCAGCTTTCACCACACTAAAACTCTTATCTTCTGTGTACAACATTTTGACGCTTGTATGTCACATTTATCTAAACATCATAGTTGAGGAACACTTAACTCGGGGCCCTGAGAGAATAATCATTGAAAGGGTAGAATATACAAAGGTTTTTCAAGCTATATTTACTCAATTTCAGGATTTTGCTCCTGAGCTCTGACTATGTATCAAGTAGGCCTAATATTGTGCGCAAACAAGTTTTGGAAGGTAAATTGGTTGAAAGTTGAATGTTGAACCATTGAGGGAAGCATTCAAAGTGTTTGATTTACATGTATGTTTCATGATGAGCAAAATGTTTCACTGTAGGTACATGCTGAACATGACTAAGCTGATCCAGATAGGGGCTCAGGTTATTTAGGCAGGCACTGCCACTACCACCAGCCTCACTGCCATGCTGCGCTGCCTTTCCCAATTCCCAGATTTTCTGACAGCCTCTGGCTCAATCCATCGCGGTTACACAATGGTGTTTTCAAAGTGCAGGGGATGTGACAGGTCAGTTCTCCAAGTGATAACTGTTGCCTGCCCACTTTGCAGTGCCCGCAAATTACACCCAGCCTCCCTCAATTCCCCACCAAAATTGATTGTGAAGGGCTTCACACACTACAGAATAACAGTTTGGACCCTTAGAACAACAGTTTGACCCTGTGGATGACAGTTTCAGCGACATTGCTGGGTGAGTCATTTGCTTGCTTTCAAATCTCCTCCTGTTGTTATCACCCTGTTCCACCTAATCCATGTACCAAGCCTCCCATGCACTTGTTATATAGTTTCTGCATACATGTGAGCAATACAGCAGCTCCAATACACCAACAAATCACACATAAGTTCAAAAAAAGCAGTAAGACCTGCTTATATGCTGGTTTTAGGATATCTAGTAGCAAAGTTTCTATTGACAAGTAACAAAATGGTAACACAAAGTGGCTGCCTGCATGATAGCCTAACTATACAAAGAGGTTCTGGGAAGGAGTTGGGCAATCTCCAAGCTATGTAACCTGGGGGGTGCAGGCACAAGCTTGTGAGCAAGCATGATGGAGTGTGATTGGGTGGTGACAAGCCCCTGAGCCACAAAACTGTTGCCCAACGACAGTTTTGGCAATGGCCATGTGGGAGGGGCATGACACATGTTACAGTGAACTATTGTTCTCCTGAGAGAAGCTGTCTTGTTTAAAACATACAAGATCTATTGCATATCTATTTATATCCAGTCATATTTAGTACAATCTCCACCAATTCAATCAGATCTAGCCTTCTGGGGACACTAACTGAAACTAGATTTGACTGAAAAATGGTACAATTGTAAAATAAAAAAATTATAAAAAAAACTAGTGTGATTCAGGGAATATCTAGTATAATTGAGTGAGCTTAGATCCGACTAGGTTTGGAGAGTTACATGGTTGTATGGGTAAACATAGTCATGATCAGTATACTTAATCTAGTCTCAACCAGTGAAATTGGGCTGATTGGTACTGTTATCCCCTGCCAGAAGAGACAGCCAAATTTCTGTAAGTCCTGGAATATTTTCCTCACAGGCCTGTCCTGTAAAATAAGGTTTGAAGCATCCCAGAGACCCAAGCTAGCACTTAAAAAATCCACAAAGCACCAAAGTGGGTGGATTTCCTAATATACAAGCATCAGTTGATTTGAAAACCTAGGGACAACCACTGTCAGACTGTACAGTCTGCGCGGGAGCCAATATCAGTAATAAGCCCATATTATGCAGGGCACTGTCAGTAGCTGAGCCATAAAGGGAAAATCAGGGTGTCATTGTCGAGCCAGATTTGCTGATACAGCAGCTATAAGATTTGTTGGAAAAACCTAGAAACCAAATAGATGCCTCCCGACGTGTATCTACATTCTGCTAGCTGTATTGATGCATTGGCAATGGGTAAAATGTGCATGAGTTCGGTCTAGATGCCATCACAGCCATGTCCAACCCCCATTGCGATGCATCCTCACCAGCAACAAACCAATCGCAACCAAATCACAATGCATTTTTACTCCATTTTGACCTTGTTCTGACAGCGATTTAACAGGATATTGACACCATTGCGACAACTGAATGGCTGGTTAGACACATTGGTAATGGGTATTCTTGATTTACGTCAGGACACCCCTTTCCTATTTTCTGACATTACTGTACTTTTACAACCACAAGTTCATCCCATGTCCCGTCGGACCTTGGGAACAAACTTAAAAATGGGACATGTCCCATCTCGCCGGAGGTCACAAACTTAAATACGGAACATAGCGTAGAATCGACCAAAACATGCAATTAAAGTGTCAAAACAAAGCTACACATCTGAAGAACATATTCTGGATCCAGCACATGCACGAGATCTAAGTCAACCTCATGCTTGTTGATGAATCCAGGCCCATTGTTTGAGTTGCCAGGGTCCAGGATTCAAGCCATGAGGTTGGCCGGCTCAATCCACGAATCGTCGTTGAACTCCTCTTCGGCTGAGAAAGGGATCACGTTGTTGATCAGCTGGATTGCATCCCCCAAGCCTTGCAGCGGAGTGTCATCTTGATCCTCGCCAGAGATCTGATGCCAGAGATCTGGGTCAGAGTGAGGGAGATTGCGAAGGAGCTTGAGAGCGGGCAGGCTCGAGAGCAACTCGGAGGAGAGGTTAAAGCTCCCTCTAACCTCACATTGCTGGAATGTCTGCATAAGATGTTGTTAGAATGCTGTAGATATAAGAACATCAGGAAAGCGCACCTGGCGGACGAAGTCTGGTTGATTGATTGCATGGAACACTTTCACACCCCATGCAACAGACCGATCTCAGAGTGTTGCAAGTCGAGTGTCCAATTTGAAGTTGAAAAGATCAGGGTCATCATCAACGTTGAGGTGCGCGAGTGCCTCATTGATCATGTCTTGATGTTGTGCCCTCTTGATCGTGTGCTTGAAGGTGCGCTGAATCCTGACATCGCACAGCTGACATTTGCCAGTGGTACCACCCGGGATAAAGTGAAGTCGAATCCAGGGCCAGTTCTTGTACACAAGCCAGCAAAAGGCTTTGCTTTGATGGACCGACCAGCAGTCGAGGATGACTACACACTCCTGGTTGTCAGGGTAGCCAAGACACTGCTTCTGGTCATTGAAGTAGGGGACAACATCCTTATTGAGGTACTCAACCATTGTGTCGAGGTTCGACCAGTAGTTAGTGGAGTTCCATGAATAGACAAAGCCAAGGCGAGAAGCCTCGGCTTTTGATGGAGCATGCGGGGAGGGGAGGGATCAATCTGAGCCGCCTTTGAAGATGAACTGGAGAGGGAGGACTGCTCCCGAAGCTGAGACACCGACAACTGCTGTGAATGCACATTTCTCTTCTTTGCCAAGAACAGCGATCTGCTTTGATCCTTGGGTGTCAAAGGTGCGGGCGGAGTTGTCAGAAATGACAATTTGGGTTTGATTAAAGTTGATGATGAGGTCCGGGTGCCGTGTTCCTGAGTCATGCACCCAGAGGGAGAGCCGAACAAAGAGCTTGAAGATCTTCTGCTGAGCATCAGCAGAAGACTTCTGAGCAGCGCGAGTCAAGACCCTGGGGACCCACCCAAGCTCCTGGAAAAGGAACTTGCAGATGAATGAGTCCGTGCAGGCAAATGGCTGCTGACCAGGGGCAGTTGCCCGGAAGAGCTGGGGGGTGTGGTGACAGATGAGGGTGATCATGATGGTGCTGCAGGAGGACAAGCTCATGGAAATCCCTGAGTATCACATGAACTTCAGGTAATCCTTGATCTTGTCGATGAGATCAGGATAGAGAGACTGTTGATAAGGCTGATCAGTAAAAGCAATGCGAAAAGGCAGCAGAAAACCTACGAGAATCCCATTCCGTGTAACCTTGCATTGAGGCTTGTTGCCAAACTCCACCTGTGCAAGAATTGGGTCCTTCCATCGAGGTGGCTCACTGTGTTGGCACTCAATCCAACGGCCAAGAGTTTGAGGTATGAGCTGGCTGAACTGTGTTGGGTTGGTTCGCTTGAGGTCATCAACAATCTTCTTTGGGGGCCAGTTGCCGCTGATCTTGTGTGCACTGTTGTTGATCTGCTGGAAAACAAGCGGGTGGCAGTAGTTGAAGCACTCCGATGCAGAGGCGGGCTTGTCAATGGGATTCTTGCGCTTGCGACCTTGTTGGTCCCAATTCTTGGTGGCAAGCCGGGAGAATTGTTGGAAGGGCCGTGAGGCTTTGGGTGTGGCAGATTGAATCGGCGGTGTGGTTTTCGATGGCACCATGAGGGTGACCTTGGTCTGGGCCTTCTGTGCAGCCTAAGGTGCGTTATTGGTAAGATCAGATTGTGATTGAGCCAAAAGCAGAAATGACGTACCCTCTTGGCACGCTCCTCCAACTGCAAGCACCATTGTTGCTTCCACAGACACTCCTTCTCCTTTTGCAGATGTCCCTTCTTGACCTCGGCAATTCTTGCTTGGCACTCTGCACATGCAAAGGCCTCTTCCCACTTGGTGTCACATTTGTACTTGGTTGTGATGCGTCTGGTCTCGACTTCGGCCTGTGTGACCTTTGGGAAGAAGCTGTTGAACTTCGGTTGCAAGAGCAATTGTGTTGGGGGAAAGGGCAAGTGCGCTGGGAGGGAGAGTGGCTGCGTCGGGAGGGAGAGTGTCCGTGCCGGGTGAGGCATCACCTCACAATCTTGGACCAGATGTGAATGGAGCAGCTTTGCCTGATGAATCAACGACGACAATGGTGGGATGTCATTGTCATCATTGCTGCTGTTGTCAGGTTCCGTGCCGCGGTCTGAGAGCGACGTGGTGTTGTTGCTCTCAGATGCATCTGTGGAAGGGGCAGAGGGAGGCAGAGGAGGAGGTGAGAGAGCTGAGGGAGGCGGAGGCAGAGGTGGGGCCAGAGGTCCATCAAGCCTGCTGCTGTTGGGGCAAGAGAAAACCAGGTTGTCAGGAAGACCTAGATCATGCTAGAGTAAAGTAGGTAAATGATTGGGCAAATCAGAAAAAATGTGGAACGTACCAGGGCATAAGGGTTGCCACCATGGGTCAGAAGGAGAAGTGCCCACTCCGCATGCTCGGGACACTTTGTATGCGGAGACCAGGGCCTAACAGAAGATTGGCCAAAGATGGTGTGCTCAATCATGTTGAACGTGACAACACTGCAAGAGAAGCCGTCATCCTGGAGGGAATGATCAAGAGGTATGATGGATGGGTGGAGCTCAAGGCCGCGCGCATGAGCAAACGTGCGATATCCCTCGATGTTGTCCTGACTGATGGCTTTGGCAGGCATCGCATCAAGCAAGTCGCCAATGGAGAGCTGGCCGGTGTGCGTGTCGAACAAGGCAGCGACGTAGTGGTCGAGGTGGCGGTTGTGCAGTGGGTGTATGATGCCCTCAAAGCTGCCAGCATTGACCTCCTTGCTGACATCGGAGAGGTGGCTGAGATTGTCAGCATTGGGGGTGTTAAACAGGTCCCACTGCACGGTTTCTTGGATGATGGAGAGGAATGGAACCTGGAAGTCGAAGGTGTTGACATAGAGACAACAATGAACGCGGTAGGTAGTAGTCCAGTTGCGGATCATGTGCAGAACATGATCGACGATATTGCCAGAGAGATAGCTGTTAGACAGAAGCTTGGCAACATCGAGGGTGCGGAGACCAGAAACGCCAAGCGGGGCATTCCAGCCGACGATGTCGAAGAACATCTCGAAAGCGTGATGGATGTGGATGAATGAAAAATGAGCTGGGACAGCGAGGAGGTTGACATTGGCCCAATCGTGAGTGGAGGCTCACTTGCCTTTGCCTTCCCTTCGGGAAGGACAATGTGCCACAGGGGCGGGAACCACAAGGGTCCATGGAGCGGTTTCCCCGAGACCTTGCCAATCCAAATGCTACGAGAGCTGTGCAGCCACTGGGATCGGAGCACATTGCGGGTGATCAGATGTGCATATGGAGGAATGGGCGTGTTGACGAAGTCGAAAGGACCTAGTGAAGGAGGATGTGGTGAAAAGATGTTGTCCGCTGTGAAGGAAGACAAGGGGGGCAGAGCAGTAGGCAAGGGTGTATGTAGAAGAGTGGTGACTGAGGCTTGATGATCGACAATGAAATGACAATAGTGGGGAGTAGTGTTGTTCTTGGCCTGGCCTAAAAGCCAAAGCCAGGCCAAGCCAAGCCAGATTTTGGGCCAGGCCAAACCAGGCCAAAGCCAAGCCAATAGGCCATGGCTTTGTTAGACACTTATTATAATACTATATATCAGTAACTACAGTTGATGTTAGCTTGTTTGATACTTTTGTAAACTTTGTACACCTATCCTTTATCTAATCCTTATGTAATCTGCAGACCCCGCTTGTTTGTGACCATGGGAAAGTCAGTGTTGGGAGGGTGTCCTCTAGAGCTAAATAGTTTAAAGCCTAAGTCTTCATCAATGGTGATCGACCCTGCACTAGGCTATTCTTAAATGAGACTACTAATTATCAGAAGTGATCCTTGACTATGCTGTCTCTCAAAACATACCCAACTCTTGACAGAATCTGTTTTTTGGAAGAACTAACCTTTTATAAAACTAATGTGTAGTAGTAATAATCCTGAATAGGCCTTATCCTTGGTATAGCTATTGTACTACCAGTGCTTAGTAGAAAGCCTGATATCCAATATACTCCTCAGTGCTTAACAGAAATTATGCCTCATTACTTTCATGTTTATTTGGATTGCTAACAAGAGATTTATGATCTACCAAGGATTATTTCAGTTAAATGTTGTTTCTGTCAAGGGTTAGCCCTGTCAGGGATTGGTTCTGTCTATTCTTAGTTTTGTTGAGCTAGTATTGTTAAGAGTTCGCTTTGTATTATAGGATTAGGTGATTTCTCGAGGATTAATTACCATGTTTTCCTCATAGTCAGGTGTTTAGGCATAAACAAGTATTCTCATAAGGACTTGGCAAGGCTCATATCAAGCATATTTAAAAGCAGTTGCTCACAAGCATATGGTATTTACCACTATACAAGGGCTAACCTGCAATTAAAGCATTTGGCTATATTTTGTAAGTAAACTTGTAGTGTAGTTAAAGTACCATACAAAAGCCATGGCTCGAGCCAAGCCAAGCCAGGGCCAAGCCACAAGCCAATAACTTTGGCTTGGCTTGAGATTTGGTCAGGTCAAAAGCCACTTGAAGCCAAGCCAAAGCCAGTGGCTTTCGGGCCAAGCCAAGCCAAGAACAACACTAGCACTAGGGAGGGACGTCAGTGGTAGCTATAAACTCTGCAAGCTCAGCAACATGATCGTCGATGGTAATTATGGGAGGCATAGTGGTTAAACAGCAAGATAGAGATAGGACAAAGAAGGAAGTGGGGAAAGAAGGTTTGAAATAAGGATCGGGGATAAAGGTGAAGTAAAGTATAGGTAGATGTGCTCACAATGAGAATAAGATACTGAAGAACTGTCTCTCCCTGGCCTCTATCAAGCGTATTTATGTGTTTATGTTGGGGATCACCTGCGCAAGAACAAATAATATGTGGTGGAAGGGTAACTGGGCACATGAGCTCTCCCAACTACAATTCTGAGGAGAAGAAGGACTCACCTTGAGAAAAACTAAGCAGAAATAGCCAAGGCCTGCCATGCTGAATCATTGTGCTCTCTAGCTTTGAATGTGTTGAGCCAATGGGCTGAGGACAATAGCATATGGGAAGAGAGGGAGGAGGTGAAGTAAGAGGTGAGCATGAATGGTCACGAAGAGGCACTTTCCACAATGGGTGGTCTTCAATGCGACATAACAGAGGCGTGCCAAGAGTGCTGGCAATGTGCCTGAGGGCATGACGTTGTTGGCTGTGAGCCCTGCCCGCAATCCCGGTGAATGTATTCAATGTCCCAGCCTGCAGGCTGCAAGCGAACTTGGTGTCCCGCACTCATCGCCCCATGCGAACTTAAAAGCAGGACATGCTGTATTTGGTAACTACTTTCCCACGCCACCATGCGAACTTGTGGTTGTAAAAGTACAGTATACTATGCTGGAACCCATAATGAAATCTGTCACCCGCAATGAAATTTGTACCTAGCATCCGTACTTTTCATTTCTCTACCAAGCTGCGCAATACCGACATAGAGTAGTTTCATTAGATGGCCCATGTTCAATCTTGTAGGTATATACCAAGGGACAGGGGAGGGACAGTTGAATTTCATTGCAGGTGATGGTTTTCATTGCGGGTTCCAGCATAGTAGTGAGCCTCGAGAGAACACTCTGTCATCAGTCCAAAATATTGAGAGCTTGTGCCTTCTGGTTGTGTCCAGTTTTGTTTCGGTGGGGGTGGAAGGTGTTAGCTCAATATATGATTACTCTTCTGTACACCAACCTGACGTTGTTTCACAGCTGGTTATTGACCTGAGCTCAAAACATTATCAAAAGAGCTCATTTTCTGTCTTTTGAGCCATGTTACTTTGTGTCTAGACATCCCCTTGCCAATCCAGCACAGTATGATATGGAATGGCATGGAATCATAATTATCATGAATTTGTTTTGAGAGTTTTGCTGGGGAAACAGCCACAAAAGATAGTTGTACATCCTGACAGTGGTGTACATTCTCATGGGGGATGACAGTACAGGTCAAAAAGCACACTAGATTTAAATCTAGTGTGAAATATGCATTGCAAAATAGGGGTACATTGTCATATATGTGCCTAATATTGTCCAGAACACAAAAGAGACTCAGGGAAAGGTATAGTACGATGATGGGAATCAAAAGGAGCATGACAAGAAAGAAAATGGACAGGAAAACAGTGAGAGTGGGCATTGGGTGGATGAATACTGTAGTTTTTCAACCTTAAGTTTGTGGTGGTATGGGAAAGCGGACTTTAAACACAGTTACTTTAACTGTCTGTCCCCCCCTGTAGGTCTGGAGGACCCAAGGGTGAACAAGGTTTGTGCTTAAGTGCTCTTGGGTTGTACACTGGACAGTACTAAAATATTATATTAACCACTGACATCAAGTTTGAATGCTACACTACCAGTGTTATCAACAGTGGACCTGAGATAGCCCCAGCAATGTCTGTATCATGATAAAGGAGGCTGTGCTCCCAAAATTCTGCCCCAACTTCCTCAACCCCACTGTCCCTCCCAGCATGGGTGACAAGCTCGAGCATGTATATTACAGTTTTTCCACCTTGTCTAACTTGCCCCCAATACACTTCTCTTTCAACTCTACACTTGCACTCTGCACTTGATGGCACCTTGCCAATGAAAGCACTCAGTGTGTTTGGGTTCAGCACATATTCACATTCCTGTCTTCTCTGTCCTACACCTACCACAGCAGCTCAGGGCAGGATACGAACCCTGCTCACAAGCAATAAGAAACACAAAAACACTTAATATACAGTGGGTGCTTATGTACCAGAGTACTACACAATTTTTTGGAGGGCATTCCAGCAATTTTATTCTATTTTATTGCCCATTTTATGGAATGTCCCCCTATATAAGTTTGAGGGCTTGATGGGAGGGGAGACTGTCCACCCCCTGAAAGTTCAGTTTTTGGGGGTGGACAGGGGACCAAACCTAAGGTTAAAAACCTACAGTAGACTCAAAATTAGTAACGGGGACCACTGACAAACTCAATTTCACTCAGGTTCCATTTTCCTTTGTCCTTCTGTATGATTAGAAAGTTAGCACTCACCAGAGTTTCCCCTAAAATATCAGACACCCGATATGTAGTCAGTATAGCACAGCCACTAAGTCTCAAGCTGCGTATTGACTGAGTACGCTATTCCTGTACTCCTACCACGTCCAGCCACGATTGTATGTTATTGTTCCATCATATGCAATCCTTCACGCTCGAGGAAATCATTTAAGTCCCGCCACCACATTGCCCAAACCCTCAACCCAGAGCCTTTGACCTCTCTCTCTCCTTTCGAGCTCTATGTAATAATGTACTCTTCTCAGCCTACGGTTAGGAAACAGAACAGGCTTGTCAAGTGCTCCTGCCGAGCCTTCGGGTGCTGTCGAGGCCCTGATGGCCATACACTACAGAAGCATAGGACTGCAAAGGAGCATGGAGAATGCAATGAAGTTGAGGATGCTGCCAAACATCAGCAAGTGCAGGAGGATGGGCTGGCCCCAGCGCGTTCAGAGATGTTGCCGGTGGATCACGCATTGGAGGAGAACGAGGGTGATGCATACAGCGAACATGGTGATGAGGGTGCACCGGTACGTTGTATGCATTCAATGCCCCAGAACATTCATGCAATGTTGATGTGTCCCTACAGCTACCTTCAGATACACTGTACAACTGGATACCCTCTGACAGTGCACATGCCAGCGATGATGACTCCTCGATGTTCTCGCAGACTCCTCTGGCTGCAGACCCCGGCACAGATGATGAAAGGCAGGTTGACATTGGAGGGGAGGGTGAGGACAAGGATGAGGGTGATGAAGGCAATGAGGAAGAGGAAGGTGAGGAAGGTGAGGAAGGTGAGGAAGGTGAGGAAGGTGAGGAAGGTGAGGAAGGTGAGGAAGGTGAGGAAGGTGAGGAAGGTGAGGAAGGTGAGGAAGGTGAGGAAGGTGAGGAAGGTGAGGAAGGTGAGGAAGGTGAGGAAGGTGAGGAAGGTGAGGAAGGTGAGGAAGGTGAGGAAGGTGAGGAAGGTGAGGAAGGTGAGGAAGGTGAGGAAGGTGAGGAAGGTGAGGAAGGTGAGGAAGG